GGAATTTTTATTGTTTTTCCCCTGCCCTTCAACACTTTGTATATCCTATATTTGAGTAGAACATTATCTGATATATAATATTATAGCAATATCACTAATTAACGAGCACTGTAACAACTACCACTTTACAGAAGTAAACTGTTTCAAATTCATATAATTATACCATCCAGATTCCCCAGTGTTCTCGGTAATGCTTTTTTCAGTTTTATATCCAGTAAAGCAATCATCCGATTAGCTTTAGTCGTCTCCCTGCATCGGTCGTTGCTGACTCCGTGCCAGCTCTTGATTATAAGTTTGAATCAATCTCTCAGCTATGAAATCTTGAGATGTTTCATTCAGAGCCTCTAAAAATTTATCAAATGCTTGAGGACCTCTCCTGGGAAGAATCAGTAAAAACTCAGTTATCTGCTCTTTTTTTGTACTTTGAACACTAATTTGATCATACATATCATCAGTAATGACAGACTGTCCTAACATGTGATCCAGGAGTTCATTCATTGAAAGGTTTTCTGACAAATACACCCAGTTCAGTCTCAATGTTTCCCTATGTATATTATTCATCATCAACCTTTCAATATAGAACTAATACTAATTTGACCATTCTGTCAACAAGAAAAATTGTTGAGATCTTTGATTACTTGTTTTCTACATGTATCAGCCTCTGTTTTCTGAAATAGATAAAAAAAGTTATATTTAATAATAGCTTGCAACAGAGAAAAAAACAACAACAGGAGAAAGGAAGAAGGCCAAAATTGTCCTGTATCGCTCACCTGTGATATATTTTTGAATTGGTCAATACTCGTCAAAGCAGAAGAAGGTCATTGGGTTTACATTGGTGCGTGTTGCCAAATGTTGCAAATTTTTTACGACTTTAACAATAGAATGAATATAAAATGTGAAACTGGTACAGTTCATTAATATTAATATGCTCCAACCTTTCAAAACTTTAATAAACTTAAAATGAAAAAAGATGTTTTAATCTAATCAAAACTAAATATGATTCTGAAGAAATCTTTAATCATTGTAATTATTACAATAAATTCATTTCATTGAAATAATAATAGTGAATATATAGATTAGTTTACTATTTAGGGGAGAAAATGATTGTGTCCTTAACGGTTACAGGGATTAACCAATATCAACAACGCGTCAATAAATCATGATTAATGCCCTCACAAATACTATAAGAATCTTACACTGGCTGCCGGTACAGAGAGGAAATTTTGGCTCAAGGGTAGCTGTTTATGGCGGTAACAAGGCATTGCCGAGTTTCCTCTTAACAGTTACCTGACAGCTAGATATTCCGGTATGTACCCACAGCCGCTGTTTGATTCTTTTTCTTGCATATTACATGTCAATTATTTTCGGAGAAAATAACAGAATTTACCATGATATTCTCATTACGCACTTTTTTTAATAGTAGCGTATGAACTTACAAACAATTCATTCATAAATGGCATGGGACAATAACATTATTTATAGCATGCAACTTGTCTTACAAGAAGGGTGAAAGACAGGTTTTTCCAGCATCAGTGTAAACAGAAGATAATCCTGTCTGATATGCAAGAAAATATCACATACAATGATTATCTTTCAGGGAACTGGGGCCAGGGACTTTCACTTAGGGGAATTTTACAATGTTTTGAAGAATAATGGGTAATTTTGCCTGTCAACAACAATACTCAAAATGTTAAAAAATGTTAATTTTTTTTTGCAAAAATGCAAATATCAATACAATATTGTTTATAAGGGTCGTTTGCTCCTGCTTTAGACAAGTAAAAAATTATCAAGTTGCTTCAATTGTATAACAGAATAATTAAACAGATGTAAAAAAGAACTATGATATAATGGATTTTAACAGTGGATTTTAAAGGGACTCCACTGAGGTTTATTTGACATGATGGTACTGGAAATAATTTTTCAAGATTAGTGTTCTATTTGATGAATGGTTCGACTTATAACTTGTGTGCAAAATTTCAGATCATTCCCTCACTCTGTTTCCCCTGAATAATTATTTTAATTGTGAAAAATAACTCAAAAATGGAAAAGCATTGCAATGGTTTTCACCCAAATCAAGCTAAGAATAGCATAAAATACAATTTTAAATTTATTTCTGAGTATATTTTTTAAAATCATCTTTTGCATGTTTTTCTGTTTTAAGTGCCCCAGCTTATTTATGTAAGAAATTCAAAGTTTATGTTTTTAAACCTTTGAACCTCAGTGGAGTTCCTTTAACTTAGGTATTCGTAGTGGATTTTAACTTAGAAGTTCATCATTACAAACTGCATTCATTTTAGCTATCAGCCTAAATGTAGCTTAATTGTAATTTCATTGTCTGTTTCATAATACTATATTGTATACTACATTTATTACACATTGTAATATTAATATCACAATACATTTACCACAGCAATACCCACCTCAAGAGATGGGATAATAGGGATATGCCTCCTAAATTATTGCGGAGTATTCACTGTAACAATATCATGTTCACTTATAAGGGAGGAAAATGTGTAAGTGACTAGACTAATATTGTACAACGTACACATTGAGATATTATGCTATTTGTCGATGTGTATGGGCAACATATCTCACCTCTTCAGTAAGATTCTGACCCAGTACAATAATATATCAGAGTCTATTTTTAGCACGTCAAAATATTTTGACTACCAGGCAGCTGAGCCTGAAGAGCAGCAGATTGGTATCTGATGGTCCTGGGTTCGAGTGCCAGTCATGAAGCAATATTTTCTCATTCTGTGATATTATTATTCATCTATTAAATAAGAATATACTTCCTTGAAATAAATGTGTTCTTGAAGCAACAATTAACCCATCTTAAATCAGTTGTTTTAAATCAGCACTTCTGTATACATGTATATGTTTAAATTATCATTGAACATGCACAAAGTACTTGAGAGAGTGACGTCACATGCACAAAGTACTTGAGAGAGTTTGTAGCGGATCTACATGGTAAAGATATCTATAATTCTAACACAACCCGCATTTTTCCCTATTGAACATAGAAGAACAGAAAGTTTGTATTATAATGCAATAAAGTCACTGTTTACGTTCTATATTTATACATGTAACGTAACCATTATACATGTGACGTAACCACTAAAGGAAGTGGCTAGCCGTACGGGCCCATACGGCTAGCCAAAAGTTCTAGCTGTATGTGAGTCACGTACGACTAGCAAGGACACGCTGTATTGGCTAGCCATACGGCCTTTTCACAATGATATGGAAGTCGAAAATGCATTATATGTTATTTTATGACTTTAAACGAGGATTTTAACCAAGAAACAGCAATTGTCTTCGTACATGTATGTTTACTTTTTAGAGATTAATCGCCTTGTTGGCTATGTACAGTAAAAAAAAAGTACGAATATATGTTTCCTTGTCATCTCAACACGTTGAGAAAAAAATAGCGTTTGGTCGCAGTTAAATAACATCAATTGAAATAGTTTACAAAATTTTGATGATAATCCTTTTTTGTTTCATTAAGTTCAATTTTCGACACCTTTAAAATAAAACAAAAAAAACCAACACGAAAATTATTGTTGTTGGGCTCTGATAATTGCGTCAATTACCGACGGTAAAGAAGTTTGTCCATCACTAATTCTTTTTATTTATTCCACTCAGACACGGATTTATATTATAATAAAATATAAATCCGTGACTCCGATCATTATTTATTCGATCCATGTGCTTAATTCACAAAAATTCGACTTTCATACAAATAAAACAACAAAATGAAATCATAATCATGTTTGACTTCCATATAGGTAATTCTGAAAAGTGCCGTACGGCTAGACAGTACAGTGAGTCCTGGCTAGTCGTACGTGACTCACGTACGGCTAGAACTTTTGGCTAGCCGTACGGGCTCGTACAGCTAGCCACTACCACCACTAAAACTGTGACATTCTGAAAATAAGTACGGAAACAAACCAGGCGCAATTTAGTGTAATATTAGATACGGCAACATTTATTTATTGATATCATGTTAGAAACTGAATGGAAATAATGTATCGGAATCAGTGATTTTATCACCTGATAAAATCACTGTTTGTCATTCTGATGTGCATCATTATAATTCCTCGCATCAGAACTCCAGTGATTTGATTTAGCCATAATATCACTGTTTGGGATATAATTTCTTAAATAAAGAACATTTAAGTCGCAAGTTTCAGCATTGTGCTCCAACAAATTAACTGATTTAGAATTTGTTGTCATAACATAAGCGTAATTCCTCAGGGTGCTTGACCAGTATTCAAAGCAAACGTTGATTGGATTATCAGTGGTCTTCTTAGAGGGGTCACGTTTATTAAACAAAAACAAAGAAAATGAGATGAAAATATATGCTAGTTTTAGCTTTTGTAATTGACAGTTTAAGACGGAGTGGTTGTAAAAGGGATGTTCAAGTCGTGGCACAAAGTCTGACTCCCAGTGTCTGTGGTTTCTACGGTATTTCAAATAATTACACACATGTATTTACCTGGCTACCTGTTTACTTTTTCATTGATTGCTTATAATTGATAAGAAAGCAAGATAACAATGCAATCCCAAACTCACAGTTGCAGATCGGTTCGATGATTATTATAAAAACAAGATTTACTTGATACTGTACCTGTCAATGGATAAATTTTGACTTCTTTCGTTTTTATTTTCGGATCAGAAAGCTCTGAAAATCCAAAACAATTTTAAAACGGCTGTCATAAGAATGCCACGCCGTATGAATTCAAAAGGGACTATTTCAAACTTTATCTTTCATAGAAGTGGGTCAGACTATACTATATCACCACAAATATACAAAATAATACATTAGTAACTGACTTTTGCATCGGAAAATACGTTAAGTATCCCATTTGCATCGGAAATGATGCTGACTGATTTTTTTTCTTCAAGATTGCCCCGCACAAAAAATTGACCCCTTGTCCATAAGTTCGCTCCTGCTTCACACTGACGTTATAAATATCCGTCATGACGTCTTCGTATCTATGACGTCATGCCGACGCCGTTTCTATGTTGCAAATTAGTTTGCGCGCTGCAACAGAGCAACAGCTTATGCGAATAGAGCATACAACGTTTTTTTAAAGAAATTATCACAATATAATTTATGGGAAACAGCCATTGTAGACCGCGAGAAGGAGGAGAGAATTTGCGAGAGTATCTTTCACGTAAATTCCGTGCCATTGCAGGAAAACGCAAGATAGACGATCTTGTAACGATTGCAATTGAAAACGAAAGAGCAGAAAGTAAGATTATTAATTTTTTAGAAATTATTCTTTTCTTTGAAATCCACATTGGATATGCTTAATATACATGCATCTTATATATTTTTACTTCATAAACTTCATCTAGGCTTCAAAATTTACTAATTTTCTAGAAAAAAAAAATCAAAGGTAAAGTTTGTTTTTCTTTTCTAAAGATATCTTTCTATTTAATACATAGATCTGATATTTTATTCTATAGTTGAATAGTTGTCCACAGTTTAATTTAAAATTCAGAAAGTTGTTTTTATAGGGTTAACGCACGTTTTTCCGTGTTATAACGTCTGCAGAGTCCCGAGGAACGGTTGGTGCCCGAGCCCGGTAGGGCGAGGGCTCCAACAGTTCCGAGGGACTCTGCAGACTTTATAACACGAAATAAACGTGCGTTGACGCTATTATAGCATAAAATTTTCAAACAGATTCGTGATGTAAAGTTTATACAAAACACAATAACATTAAATTCTTTTGCTTGGACGGTATTTATCCAATTCTATGTTTTACGTATGCGTTTCATTTTTCCGGGGCCAACAACTTGGAAAATTCTCGGAACCGAACGAAATTTTGAATTTTAAAATTGATTTAACAAAGCTTGGCCTTTGGAGATTTATTATCTCAAGAAAAAAAACGTTACATTACTCTACCCTCTACCCAAGACAAAACATGACCCTCAGAAATTCTTAGAATGATTTCAGATTTACGGTAGAAAAAAGATCAGTAACATCAGAATCGGTTTTTTTTCCCAAGCAAACAAGTTTATAAAAAAATCAGGCACTAAGCATTATTCTCTCAAAGAAATATAAAGAGCATTTATCAACATTAACATAAATAAAAAACATGTTCTCATATTAATTTTGTGTTATCTAGTTTTGTAAGTTAATCGGAGTGTTAAACTGAATGACAGGTAGATTCTACTGTATTTGTTTACATTGACAACTGTCCGTTTCTTAGAAAGGGCGACAACCAAGATTAGCACCGATGTCTATACGCCGTTTTTTCCGGCATAATTACTTGAATATGCGACTGAGGCCCTCGAATCAATAATTTTAATATAACAAGAGCGCATGACTCTTTGGCAAACAGGCCAAATCGTCATTTTTTGTTTGTTTGTTTACTGGGCCCTGTATGTATTGCGCATAGGTGAAACCGGGCTATAACAAGAGCGCGTGACTTTGTTAACACATGGTTTTGGTCCCGTTATAACATGGGCAAAAGAGGGAAAAATAGCCGATTTTATGCTATAATATGCATAAATAAAATGTCGGCATTTTGTAGCAAAACTTTACAATACATTTACATTGTATATTTTAATTTTCCGGGTCTCTTTTTACATTTGATATTGGGAGCTTAAAGCTCGGGTGATTTTTTGATGACATACCTATTCTGTGGCCAAACTGTATACATGTACAGACTTTTGAATATTTCAAGTGATGGATTAAAATTAATAGTAACGTATAAATTTGAATTAGCAGGAGCGTCCGTGATCAAGTGCTTAATGTCTTTTACTACAAAGCACTCGCCTCTCACCTCTGTGGGTTCGAATACTTCCACTGACTTTGAATTCTTTCATGTGAGGATGTTATCCAGCTAGATTACGAAAGGACGGTGGTTCTACCTCAAATTCCCGCTAATGTCTGAAATAATGCACGGAGGGGCATCTCAGGTAATCTTCCACCAGTGAAGCTGAAAAACCGCCATATGACTTATACAAATGTAATGTGTTGGTGCGACATAAAAACGCAATAGGCACATAGGTCCAACAATCCTGAATTTTATGTGGAAGTTAGATTAAGCTCAATATTGTGATATTACACAGTTCCCAAGGAAATATGTTATTTGCCAGGCACTTGACTTTGTCCAAACCTCATAAACAACGGTCGATAATAATTGGAGAGCATAATTATATCAATAGGATTAATGATAGCAATGTCCTTGAAGGTCAAGGTCATTTATGAATGAAGATCAAGGGTAGTCTGGTCTACTTAAAGGTCTTTTTCAAAGGGTTGTTGTGGCCAAGTATGAAGACAATATACCAAAAACTTAAAAGTTATGATCAATGTATAAGTTTGCGGATGGCAACGACAACTAATGTTACTGTAACAATACCCTTTTTTAAGTCGAGCTGAAATTAAATCATTGCATTTTCAAAAAGACAAAAATAGAATGATATGGTTTGTTTTCTACAGGTAAAGTTGCTGGTGGACAAAATGAGTTACATCTGAATCTGGAAGACATTGAGGACTACGAGACTGATTCCGACGACTCTGAATATTCTGCTTCCGAGAGAAATCCTGACAACGCATCAGCGGGGAAACCCATAGATGAAGACAAACTTGAAAAGAAAAATGAAGTTGTAAGTCTTGTTTTGTTACATATTTTGTCATTTTTGTTGAAATAGATACACCGTTTAATTTCAGATAAGTCAATTTTGGCAGTGGGAAGTCAATTACACCAAAAAAATAATAAAATAATGTTTTCTTTTATTCTAATTTTCATTGCCAAACTTTGCTGATATTGACAAATCTTGCACAAAATTCGCACGTATTAAAGTGAAATGGTCTAAATAATGGAAGGTCTGTTATACAATGACTGATTTCGTATTTAGTTTTAGACAAAACAACAAATCATGTTTGCAAGTATTAGACACAAGGCCCGATATAACATATATTCATATAGCAGATAATAAAATGTTCTTGAACAAAATATTATTATCATCATATAAAATATCCATTCTAAATCACTTAGAACATTATCAACATGTTTTTTGAGCAATATTTTATCAGAATATCCAAATGATACATTTCTATTGTTTTTTAATCAATAGTATTTGAAATACTTATGAAAAATCGTGCCCATTGTAGACCAATTCACTTTAAGGCTTGAGCATTTCATAATAATAATCTTACACCACATTGCATTAAACGCTCGGATGCCAATTGTTTTGTTATTAACTACGTAACTTTAATCTCAGCAGATTATTCACGACCCACCTTCCAGACAGGAAGTTAGTCAGTACAAAGAGGATAACGACTACATCCGGGTTCTCCAGGAACAATTAAAACAAGTGCAGAGTGAGGTATGAATTCTGTTAAAATATCTACATTGTCTTCATGCAAATTATTGAGAATATATCCATACTTATCAGTTAGAAAGCTATTCAGGTACAAGTCTATTGCGCAAACTATGAGCAGTTTTCTATTCATTAAATAACTTAAATAATTAATATTATTATAACAACAACAATAAATAAATAATAAATGCATTTTCCAAGATTTTTCCTTGACAAATTTACCATCATACTTGTCATCAAGCTTATTTAAGAAAATGTATACAATAGAAAATTACTGAAACACATAGCTTGCAGAAGTTGTTTTAGCACAGACGTCCTCTGCTTTGAAAACTTATCAACTCATTGATTTCTTACAGCTTGCTAATCTACACAGAGGTAAATTTGACAAACGACAAACGGAAGTCTTTGACAGAGAACAAGATGGTATATACAGCAGCCACTCTTTTCCAAGCCCACAAGTTGATGAGTCGAAGGCAACGAATGATGAATTAAGATGTGAAACAGCTGGTCCAACAGATATAGAGATCGTTAGTCATAGGTCTCAAAGAAATACCTCCTTACATGCACAGGGTGATGTTACAGATAGATCAGATAAGCCCGCAGTGAATATCTCAACTGCCGCCGACGACAGTAAGACCGCTTCAGACGTCAAGATGATCGTTGCAGAGGACAGAATGACCGCTGCAGACGTCAACAATACCGCTGCAGACGTCAGTAAGATCGTTGCAGACGACAGAATGACCGCTGCAGACGTCAAAAAGACCGCTGCAGACGTCAGTAAGATCGCTACAGACGGAAGGATGACCGCTGCAGACGACAAGAAAGCAAATAATGAAGGTCGCAGAAACAAGGTCAAGGGCATGATAACTGAAGGTCTTAGGACAAGAAGTGATGTGAACCACACAAGGACCAAAGGTACTGATATATAATGTATATATGCTTTATAATATTTAGAGCTATACAAATCTTAATTAATAGGTGAGTTCAATGACTGCTATATTTTATAATGAAAAAATAATTATATAATATACTCCATGGTGATGTTGAAACATAGATATCAATATGTGACATATATATGTGATTAAAAACTGTATTCTACGTAGATTTTGTTAGTATTTTTAACAAAATATAAATAGCATTTGAACTGTTAAAAGTACATAATGCACTTATGTAATAACACTATTTGTTATTTCTTAGCTAAAAAGCCATTGAAACCTAAGGAAGAAGTCACAGTCGAAGATGAGACAAAAATAGCCGAAAAAATTGCCAAGCTGCAAAAGAGAGACCCAGTTAGTATAAAGGCTTATTTTTCTATCATTTGTTATCGGATTTACACGAGACTTCTTACTGCAATGATATTCTGTCATATTTCAGGTCATTTTGATTTTAGAATTTTAATTTTTATATTGCTGCCTGATTAGTTGAGATTGTCACACAAGAAAGAACTTACACATTTAAAAAGTAACATACAGTTGATTACAAACCCATATTCTGTTTAAAAAAATAAAAATGTAGTTTTGGATTGATTGAACAATTCGGGACATGCTATCAAACCCACTCCTCCTAATGAAATAAATTTGTTTTTGGAAATTTATTGCTTTTTGTTAAACAAATGTCGTTTAACCGTACAGCTTCTTTACCTTATAAATATGCATAAAACATTCAAAATTAATAACCTTATTCTTTTTTTCCAGGCACTTCCTCGACCAGATAAGGGAATTGTTTATCCAAAAACAATGAACAACTTAAGTGACGTAGATAAAGCTTATTATGTTGAGCAGTTTCTCAGAAGTGAGGTGTTCAGACAAAGGTGCCTCAGGAAGTACCAGAAAAGCACGACCTGGATGAATGGGCTGTCACCATTCCAACTGTGGGTGTTAGAGTAAGTCGGAATGATTTCTCACAAATTGTGTAATTAATAAGGAGCTTTAAATTTTAAATTCACATAAAGAGATTATCATTGCAAATCTTATTCAATTACTCGATGTCGCTTGCTGTGTTTGAGCCATTTTGGCACAACGTTAGTTACAAACAAAATTAATGTAACTTTAATTAAACAGTCAGAGCATATTATCACAACAAAATCAGAACACGTTGTCACAATAGATAAATAATCAAATACTTGTAATAGTAATAATAAAAAATCAAACGTTGAATAGCCTAAGTTTCTAAAGAACATATTTTTGTTCGATTGTGCAGAAAGCTGTAAGATTAACACACTCGAATCCATTTCCGGAACCAAGCAATACTAATAAAGCAATGAGTGTAAAGTTTCTTGCGCAAGGAAACAACGGTTTGTCCCTGACAGGGTTTGAACCTACGTTGCCAGCAATCCTTCGATGACCAGTCAGACGCGCTAATCACTTTTCAGCATTTAGATGAATGTATATAATTGTTGAATTTAAACTGAACAGCTTTACATCAACTCACTATTTAATCATTGCTATTTCTTTGTGTTTTTTTCCAAGCAATTAAATATTTGTTTGTATAGCCTGTGTCATGTTTCATAATCAACCTCATTACTTAAGAGAGAATTCAAATATAAAAAAAAATAGAAAATTAATATCATTGTTTCTTTTGCAGGAATGAAGGCACAGTAGACATTGAAAATGTTCTCCACCCACTGGCTAAACGACAAAACAACGCACAAGCCAAGGTCAGGTGCTGGAGAGGAAACACCCCACCACCTCAACCAAAATCCCCTTAAGTTTTTTTTCTCTCTTTTTCCCCCCTTTTATTTTATGTTCTTTTCCTTTCTTTTGCTCATTTGTTTTGATATTTTGTTTTTATGCATTTATGTTATGAACGCTAAATCATTTACACAATCATGTTTATTGGTGGCTTCATGAAAGCCGTTTACTTCACAAACGCAACAAGACGTCGCTTGGTAATTGGAAATCATGGTTCAACGTTGATTAATTATTGTGTTGGAAAAAGACACAAAGTTGCTGTAGTCATTATGCAGTTGTCTGTACTTCAGATGACAGGTCAGCCTATTTATAGCACAGTATGGAACTGCTTTCGAGGTAGTATGTGATATGCTAATTAGGGATAAACAGGGTGTAACATTTGATAAACTTCATCTAGGCGCACATGTGATAAACTTCAGTGAGAGGTCACCTGCACAAGGTACCATATCATCGGTTGATTTGGAAACGAAATCTACCAGAGACTAATGGGTATAAATTAAATATGTGTATAAACAGTATTGAAAAGATACAGGCATGCCATATACATTCATATGTGATAAACAGCAAGTGTAAGTGCTTTCCGTGTAAAACAGCAAGTGTATTTGCATTCTGTTATAAACAGCAAGTGTTAGTGCTTTTCGTGTTAATCACCAAGTCTAATTGCTTTCTGTGATAAAAGAGGAAGTATATAAATGCTTTCTGTGATAAACAGGAAGTATCATAAACATTTTATGTGATAAACAGATGTATAGAGACTATATTGTTTTTATCAGACTATTGTATATTAACAGCTGCCGTGAAAACAATATGTTCTGGACATGTTCTCAAATTGAAGAACAATACCAATGAAAAAAATGTCACCTGCGAATGGGTAACAAATTAAAAACTAACAAACAACTCAAATTTAAAGAGAAATGCGGTACATGGATATGTCGGACAACACACATGTGAGGACATGTTAGTAGACAAATAAAAACACGACATTCAACACAAATGTGAGGACATGTTGGTAGGCAAATAAAAACACGACATTCAACACAAATGTGAGGACATGTTGGTACACTTGACACACAGTAACATATACACAAATGTGAGAAAACATTGTATGTGGAAAATAAACTTGAATATGACGGAAAACGCCATTGGGAAAATATTATGAGTTGAAACAAACACAGACCTCGCAACACAAATGAGAGAAAATGTGATGTGTGGAAAACAAACTCGAATATGAGGAACAACACAAATGAGAAACACAAATATTACGGGTTTAAAGATATGGACAACAAACTGGAATATAAGGAACAACACAAACGAGAAACACAAATATTACGGGTTTAAATATATGGACAACAAACTCGAATATGAGGAACAACACAAATGAGAAACACAAATATTACGGGTTTAAATATATGGACAACAAACTCGGGTATGAGGAACAACCACAAATGAGAAACACAAATATTACGGTTTAAATATATGGACAACAAACTCGGGTATGAGGAACGACACAAATGAGAAACACAAATATTACGGGTTTAAATATATGGACAACAAACTCGAATATGAGGAACAACACAAAATAGAAACACAAATATTACGGGTTTAAATATATGGACAACAAACTCGGATATGAGGAACAACACAAATGAGAAACGCAAATATTACGGGTTTAAATATATGGACAACAAACTCGAATATGAGGAACAACACAAATGAGAAACACAAATATTACGGGTTTAAATATATGGACAACAAACTCGGATATGAGGAACAACACAAATGAGAAACACAAATATTACGGGTTTAAATATATTGACAACAAACTCGGATATGAGGAACAACACAAATGAGAAACACAAATATTTCGTGTTTAAAAATATGGACAACAAACTCGGATATGTTAACATAAATGAGAGAAAAACCCGGTATAATGCGGAAAACAAACACGCATATGATAAACAAGTGAGGAAGACAATACAACTCGGGCATGGCCAAAACATACATTAGGAACGAGACTAGTGTTATATACAGAAAAGGACTCTGTATATTAAAAAAAAAAACAGAAAAAACACTTTATATATATGGAAAAAACTGTCACATGTTAAACAATAAATGTGAAGTACCAGAAACAATCGTGGAAGCTTCAAACTTCGACTGCACAAATGTGAGATTGTCAACATGGATTACCTGTATCCTGTAACATTAACTGGGATGTCAAGGATAAAACAAGTCCGTAAAATATTTAATAAACAATCAGAACATGTTTATAAGCTATGTTGTTATGACTGACTGAATTGATCACTGATCACTGATTTTGTTGTTGTTGAATTTATCATTAAAATTATGCTGAATTAATATTTATAAACTATGATTAAATAATTTAAAAAAACAACAACTGAATTTGTGATTTTTAGCTTATATTTTGCCAATGTCGCTTATAAATGTACATATATTTCCTCTTATAATTCATTATTCTGAAATGAAAAACCAACTTTCATAATTATATTTCATGATTATAAGTATGGATTTCTTATCATAATATTAAAATAAGTAGATATTGTATATCAAATTGCAAATCTTTTTGTGTAAAATATATTTGGAGGGAGTTTCTTAGTAAGGCCTTCCTTCACTAGAAAAAAACTGGAAATTCGAAATATGACTTAAACGTTTTTTTCACGTTTTAAAGCCCGAGAGACAGCTACACTGGTTGCTATTCAGTAAGTAAATATATTGAGTATTTCTTTAAAAAGATTAATGGTTTTGTTCAAATTGAACGCTGGACAAGTCAATTTAAAATATTCAACGTGGTAAGGGTTAAATAGCCAGCACTAATAATTACTTATCTGCCGTAGAGCCAAGCCGACTAGCATATCTTGGCAATTTGAATACGATTGAATAAAACGAGCAGTGGTGCTTAAATACTTTACTACATGCATTTTATACACGAAAAAGGGATAGTTCTTAATTCAAACAAAACAAGTCCACTACATGTAGTTAAATTCTACATGGGATATGGAGGAGAATAACATGTAAGACAAAAGAAACAACTCATTTGAAATTACCTATTGTTATCAGTAGCGAAATCAGATTTAAATTTGTAAATGACAGATTTTATTATCCTTCAACCCCTCTATAATAAAAAGAAATATCGCTTATGTCGATGGATTCTCACCAAAGCTGCACATTTGTCATAGTTTTCAATGTATATAGGTCAATAAATAAAGACAACAAGAGCAGATGTGTACAAATCTATCCTTAGCATAAGTGACATTGACCCAAGTGACACTTTACTCCACCCGTGCATTACTTCAGGAACGAACAGGCACCGAGTTCAGCCACAGACATTCCGTAAGCTATAGCTTGATAGCTCCCTCACATGAAATAATCCAAAGTTCGTTAGTGGCGAGATTCGAGTCCACAGAGGTGAAAGGCAAGTGGTTTGAAGTAAATGACCTTAACCATTTGACCATGGACGTCCCTGCTTATTCAAATACGTTTCTTTATAATCCATCACTTGATATAAAATTTGCATCATATATTTTATTTCAAAACAGAAAGATCAACTGGGAGAAATCCTCTGCATTTTTCTGAGTTACATTTACAAATCTTTTTGTCCTCATCTGTAGTACCCGGATAACTTTGACCATAACTGTAAGTCAATTCTTCATTTGCATAAATGTCACGTGCAGCAAATAAACACACTTTTGGCACGAGATTATGCACGCGCACCGGATATACAGACAAATTCGGTTCACAGAAATGACTAATAAACCTCCCAACATTTCCAATCTTACCAGGATCAATGAATGTTGTATGAACACCGGAAGTGAAATGTTCATTAAGCATAAAGATATAATTCATGTCACACTTTTCCTGTTTGTCAAACCTCGTTTTGGCTTCTTCTCGTGTAAGTATTTCACCAGCATACTCGCACACAAATTCTCCATAGTCTATTGCCTCAAGTGTCCGCAGACAAAAACCTTTACCATCCGATTTGAAGACTTCTAAGCGGTGTTTTATTCCACGCTGTACCAGTCTATTACTGCAAGAGTCAGGACACGTGCATAATAAGTTACATTCATTAAGAACACTTAATTCAATTCCAGTAGATATTGTTTTCCGAAGTTTTCCGTCACAAGTATACGACGGTCCATATTTCATGCACGGACATTTTGTGTCACATGACGTTTCTGTACATGAACAGCCAGGCATCTGTTCCTCAAAGTCAGTTGTTTCAGTTCCGGGTCCTGGTATGTTACAGCAGACATAATTAAACTGTAAATATATAATATGTTCTTTAAAATAGCATGTATTTTCAGCAAAGTTTAAAACTTGCTTATGGAAAAGGAAAGAAAAAAAACATCCGTCATGCAATGTTTTGCAAATCTTTCCCCACGTAGTAACTGGATAAACCTTTAGTTCCTCAGTGTAAAATCACTCCAATAGAGCATCTTTTTGCGCACACAGCAGTATGTTCACGACCTATCAATATATATGTACCGAAAAAGTATAGCAGCATATAACCCTTCATTTATATAGCAGTATATGACCTAAAATAATTTAGCGATTTGAAACCTGTAAATAAACTCGCCGCTCGTTCATACTTCATATATTGTAATGAAATCAGCATAATATTTGATATCAAATAAATCATACATACAGTGTTTAAACACTCCCAATGCATGTCATCTTCTAAATGTATAGGAATGTTTTCACATCCGCCCGAAATATCTATTTTCATTTTATCCGACATTTTTCTCATGGTAAACACTTAGCACGACACTCACCGATCCTAGGGGACATCTCAAACTGTTTTTTTTTTATTCTCAACTGTATACAGATCAACTTCGTTTCTTCTATGACGGGTTGGCAAATTACGTGTGTTGTGTCCCATTTGACAGTAGCCTAAAACGTATAAAAATTTACTTTAAGATATACTTCCTGCTTAAACTCGCCCTATCGTAATTGGAACTGAAGTGAGATGGAAAACATTATATCTTCTTGGCAAGTACCTGATATTTTTGATCGAAAAAAAAAAAACAAAAAAAAAAACAAAAAAAAAGGGTTTTGGTGCAAATACTTTTTTCTGTACTACCCCATGGTTTGGACCGTCTGCTAGTATGTCTGGAACCATGCTATTATGAAATATTTTTGGATTTGTCTCGAGATCATTTAACGAGCCAATGTGCAGACGAATAATAACCCGCTATTTTTCTAAAAAGTTATTTTCATCAAGTCGTAAAAGCTATACGTTAAGATTGATTTTTTTTTATCAAATCTTACGTAAAACCCATTTTTTTCAATCTGCCAAAATTTTTTACCCCAAAATGAACTCAAAAAGCTGCCCTATTTTTTATACATCAAAGGTTTCCACCCAAAAGGGGGTGGGTTTTTTTTAACAAAATTTTTTTAAAAAGTACAAAATAAAAATTTAAAAAATAAAAAACCCGAAATTTCGGGAGAGATTAAAACCCTTATCCAAAAAATTGTTTTTTCCCAAGTTTAAAGGAAAAAGAAATTCACGCATGGGTATAAAAAAAATATTTAATAAATTTAAATTTCAGAAATTTTAAAATTTACCCTACTTTGTAAAAAAAAGCATTTAAAAAATACAAATGCGGATTTATTAAAAATTCCGCCTCCTTTGCCAAAATTTACCTTTTTTGAAAATTTTAAAACCCTTTATCTTTTTGAAACAAAATTTAAAAAGAAAAGAGAAAAGGGAAAATATTTAGAAATTAAATAAAAATTTCCCAAAAATTAATTTTAAATTACCCCGGGGTTTTTTTTATGCATAAAAAGGTTCCCAAAAGTTTAAAAATGAAATTTTAACTTAAAAACCTTTACAAAAATCGGAAATTTTTAATGGATTGGGGTATAAAAAACAAATCTTAAATTTATCGTAATTTTTATAAACGCTAGTGGGTTATCAAAAGCTTAAAAAAAATAAATTTTTCCCCCTTTTTAAATGTTCTTAAGTTTTTTTTTATACATTGTGGGTAAGTTATTTCCCCTATATACAAACGCCCCACCGCCCTTTTTAAAATCAAAATTTACTTAAATGGGGGTTTAAAGAAGATAAAAATGCTAAGACCCAAAATTTTATTTTAAATTAAAATTTTTATGGATAAAAATTTTTTTAAACCTTTTAAAATGGTTTTTTTTAACGGAAAAATTTATATTTATTTTTGTTTCATTTGTTCATTTTCCCCATTTAAAAAAGACCCAAATTGGTTTTTATATTTTTATGGGAACGTGGCCCCGGGGTTTTTGGGGGCACAAAAGGCCTTTTGTCTTTGATTTTATTTTATTTAATTTTTACTTTAGTTAATTCTAAAATATGAAAGTGAAAACCGGATTTTAAAAAAAAATACAAAAATTTTTTTAAATTTTTGGATTTTTACTATAAATAAAGTTAGCCAAAACTTTTTTTTTTGCCCCGGCCCCAAAAAATTAAATGCACCCAAAAGGATCCTTTTTCGGAAAATGATTTAAAGCTTTGGAAATAAAAGCAAATTTTGGAATTTTTTTAACTTTTTTCACGAGCTTCCAGGTTTTGGCCAGCCCAACCCCCCGTTTACGTCAAGGGGATGCTGAAAAAGAGCGTTACAAACGTTTTAAAAAGGGTTTTTATTTAATTTTTTTATATTTTTTCATAATTTTTTTTCATAATTTGAATTTTTTTTTTTTGCCTTTTTGTTTTTCTGAAATTTTAAACATTTTTTTGTCATAAAATTTTTCGCCACCCTGAATTCTTTTCTTTATTTTTTACTATTAGTTAAAAATTTCAATTTTTTCCCGCAAGTTGCCCTTTTTTTCAAATAAAAAAATTTAGGGGGACCTTTTTCTTTAAAGAAAATAACTCGGGGAGAAGTATATTTTAAACCCAAAAAACCCCAATACCCAGAAAGTTTTTAAAAGGTCTTTTAAAATTTGTGCACGGGGGAAAACGAAGAAAAAAAAAGGGTTTAAATTTTTAAACAACAAGGAAAACAAGGGCAATTTTAAAAGGTTTTGAGTTATATTTTGTAAGCCTAAAAAATGCCGATAAAAAAACATATCACATAGTCAAAAGAAATAAAAGATAAAATTTTTATTAAAGGGCCCCTTAGCCCTTTAAAAAAGCCTTTTTTTTTTTAATCACAAAAAAATTTTTTAACTTTTTTTTTTTGTTTCAATTTTTCAAAAAGGCATACTCATTTGCTAAAAATACATGAACATCTTTTTTCAACTTTAGTTCGTTGGGAATTTTGGTTTTAATTTTTAATGATTAATTATTTTTTTTGGGAAATCAACATTTTTTATTAATTTTTTTCTTTTTTGCCCTATTTAAAGGGCCCCCAAAATTTTTTTTCCTCAGTCTGCCTCCTAATCATTAGCCCAATGTTTTTAATTTTTTCGCCCTACAACTGTGGGAAATATACAAAAAAGAATTGAATTTAAATTTAAAATTTTTTCCATTAGAAATCTGCACAGTATTTTTTTAACGGGGAGTAAAAATTAACCGATACAATTTTTTTTACCCTTTTTTACAGGGGTTTTCAAAAGGGTTTTGTCCAATATCGGTCTATTTTTGCCCATTTTTTCTTTTCGCTGTTTCCCATTGGGTTTGGTAAATAAGGCAATAAAAAGTACCATAATCCAAAATTTTCGTTTTAATTGAATTCCCAAAATGGTCATTGATTTAATTTTGTTTCAATTGAATTTTTTCCGTTTCCCGTCGGAAAAATCTTCATGGTAAAACTTTAATTTTAAATTTTTTCCCAAATTTTAGGAAATTTATTTGGTTTTTTATAACTTAACTTAACCCCTAAAATTTTAAAAAGGAAAATTTCCCTTAAACCCGGGAAAATGCTTATGTGTCTTACCTTTTTTTTCCAGGGTTTTACTTTATTCCTTTTTTAACAAAACTCGGTTTTGTTTTATATATTGTTCTAACTTTTAAAATTTTTGAAATCCCCACGATTGGGTTGTCTTTGTGACTTGGATCCTTTAAAGGCCCAAAATTTTCTTTTAAGATTTCATGTTTTCTTTTTTCCCTTGTCCTTTCCTCTCCCTTCCCTCCATCATCATCATCATCATCATCATCATCATCATCATCAATCATCATCATCATCATCATTCTTATCTTTATTCCTCATACCATCACCACTAATATCATCGTCGTCATTATTATCATTATCATCCTCCACTACACTCATCATAATCACTGCTACCACAACCAACATTACCACCACCAACATCACCATCATCATCATCATCATCACCACCATCATCATCATTATCATAATCATCATCATTATATTATCACCATCATCATCATCACATTCATCATCATCGTCGTTATCCTCACCTTCATTATCATCTTCATCCTCGTATCAACACCACCATCAAAATCATCATCATTTTCCTCATCACCGTTCTCATTTTCATTGCCATACTACCACCATTAATATCCATCATCGCATAATCATTTATTTAAACGTTAAACATTATTTATCAATACTTTTACTTCCACCCATCTCATCAATCATTCATCATCCATCATCGATCATTCATCATCACCACCACCACCATCACCACTATCATCATCATCATCATCATCATCACTTTTTTGACGTTAAGGCATTAAGTAACATGCATTTTCAATAACACGTGATATTAAAGTTTTAGTGCATGACTTTCTGTTTAAATAAATTACTTTTAAAGATAAAAATCAAGTGCAGCACCCTATTGACTTTCTACCCTGTTATCTTAAAGATCGCTTGATTATAATAGCTGTAAGTCTGCTTTATTTATGTTTTCAATTATTTATATCTCATTACATTTAAAATGTTATCCTAATCGAATAGAAAAACAAATACACATTTTTATTCAAGTTTTTATATCGTTCGAAATTGATAAGGGGATTTATAAATGTACATCTGTAAATTTGCCACGATTAAAGAAAAGCGTGAATTAATGTTGACATTCTATCAAGAGACGGTGTGTTCAAATATCAAATGGAATTTGGTTGTCAAAAAATTTAGTAAATGTATGGTTATTAAAATTTCTTATCGGCAGCTAAAGATTGAAAACTATATAGACGAACACTTTCGTTTAGAACCCTTCATTAAGTGACTTAGTCGTCTAGTTAATAATGGAGATTATGATTTAGAAGAACTGGTCTATTTGATCGGAATTGACCTTTTTCGAAAAGGTGAAATTTCGGAATCTCCCCTTCACTATGAAGAACAAAATTTACTTCCTGTAATCGCAGATGATACAAGTTGAATTATTTAAAGCTTGCAATATATGATACAGTGATCGGAAGTAACAATAACCCATACAAATTTAATTGTATATGTTTGCAGTGATTAAACGATGTAGTGATTCCGGTTTAAAAAGGGCCCTTATTCCTTGAATTAAGTGTCTAATTAAATTTTGTATGTATTAATATAAGATAATGAGTGACAGCCATTTTTTCAATTCATGTCTAACGTATCGGTAGATCTCTAGTCATAACAGTTGTGACGTAAGATTACACATGCAGTGTTACATGTGACATAGTTCGATTTATTCAATTTCATAAATTAGAATAAGAAATTAGAGGATGAAACTGGCCCCAGACATGTATATTGTAAAGGGCGGTAATATAAAACAAGAATTTGATTAAGTAACAGTATTTATTAGCTCCCCTTGCATCCATTTTCATTTCATGCAGTGAAATACACAGTATATATTTTCTAACACTGTCATCTTTTTTCAGGTTATAGACTTGTACGAAGAATTGTTATGGATGATTGATTTGAAAAGATTTCCAGACGACTACGAACCGCCTTCAATTTATTTCATGCTCGTAAGTTACCTTAATCGGAACATCTCGGCTATTATCAACAATAGCCCTTATCCGAAGACTGACGGAAAGGGCCGAAAAGTTGCGATTGATGTTACCCAGTAAGATGTGTCACAATTGTGATGTGTTTTTCTCCCATTTACAATATTAACAATCCTTTGCAATGTGCAATCATTATAAATTATTCTATATTAAAGACCTGGTCTAGGACAATTCTTTACCACGAGGGAATTCACAATGCCAACCCCCGATGTGGGTTTGATTTAATAAAAAAGTGGCCCCCCAAGGAAGGGGGGGGTTTTTTTTCCTTCAGCAAACTAAAAACTGAGAAAGTCGCACTATGGAACTTAAGAAAGCTGTTATGACTTTAAACCAAATCAAGCAACGTTTTTCTGTGACAATTTGATTAGCTTAATATACTATACTCGTCGTTGTATATTTAATCATAAAGATTAACAATTTTCCATTCTGTGAAATGCAGTGCTTTTGGTATAGACAGGAAATTTTGCTTTTTCTTTATGTTTCGAAACCTTAACATAAAATTTTGTTTAAAGAGGCAACCCTTTCAGATTATCTATCCCACACGCACATTTCTCATCATGGCTGCTGTTATCATGTATAAGTCGTCTTAAAGAGCTCTTCACAGCTTCTGTTATCGCATGTTTGCCCGACTGAATAAGATAAAATTAGTAATATTTGTATAATAGTCTGGAGACCTTCCTGTTGAGATTTTTTTAGAAATAAATGCGTATACCTATAAATGCGCATTGAGTTAACTGGAGGGCAGGTATTATAGTTACTTGTTGCTCTCCATTTACCTCAATTCTGTTGGGCATGGTCGTTGATTGGCTACATTTTTTCTTGAGTTCACTTAACATGACGACAGGGAAAGGGATAATGATAGAAAATCTTATTGTGACGACAGGGCAAGTGTTTTTTATTGTGCCCCCACGTTAGTGGCGGGCATTTAGATTTACCCTTGTCCGTCCGTCCTTCCATCCGTCCGTCCGTTCACTTTTGTGTCGCACGTAACTCAAAAAGTATTTGACCTAGAGTCATGAAACTTTACAGGAATGTTGATCAGCATGTGTAGTTGTGCACCTGGGTATTTTCGTCTGAATATTTTTAGTATTTTCAGAGTTATTGCCCTTGACTTAGTAAAATTTTGCAATTTTCAACATGTGTCGCATGTAACTCAAAAAAAGTATTTGACCCTAGAGTCATGTAACTTTACAGGAATATTGATCAGCATGTGCAATTGTGCACCAGGTATCTTTTGTCTGGATTTTATTTAGTATTTTAGAGTTATTGGCCCTTTCACTTAGAAATTTTTTGCAATTTTCAACTTGTTCGCAAGTTACTCAAAAAAGGATTTGACATAGTCATTAAACCTTATGGGCAGGTTGCTCAGCATATTTAGATTTGCACCTGGGGTTTCGCTTGTGGATTTATCCAGTATTTGTAGAGTTATTTCCCTTGACTTAGTAAAAAGATTGACAGAACAGTGGCGCGGTGGGGGCACCCGTGTCCTATGGACACATTTCTAGTTTTTGCCTATGATACAAAAGAGAAAGAACATCAAAACACTTCGCTACGCCCCCACCCCTTGTACAAATCATATAGCCTCGTGCATCGATGCTCTTGCTATTATTTGCTTTGACTTGATGACTATATATTAATAATGCGAACGACGTGTGCTGAAAACTGATAATTTGTTCCTACCATATACATTTACTCTTAAAAAAGTTAATTGAAGGAATTCAAAATCAACCGTATCTTGTCGGCCCTTTCCGTCAAACTTCGAATAAGTTTATCATGAATAAAAGCCAAGGTGTTCCGATAATTTGAAATTTGCGCGTCAACAATATATATTGTTGTTCAGTTATTAAGTTTACACAATGTTTACATTGATGGAAACAGGTCGTGGCGTTCTGATTAGTCTTTAATTTTCTTTTCAGCGTTATGAGCTACATTTTCATTTAGGAGTCGCATTCCAACACCTAGACAACCACCGTGCTGCTGTATCACAGTTTTCTAAAACTATTGAAGTCGTCTCGATTGCTAAAGTAAGTGATATTATTGAAGAGTTTTTAGTACGGGCCATGTCATTAAAGATGTGTCCATGAATATTTAATGACCATCATATTGATTCACATACCATAGGTCTCCCGTGGTTCCCGGGTTTTCCGCGAGATATAACGGGACTACAAGGCCTGAAAAGGTCAAATTTGTAATACATGTATTTAAATCATATCAATTAACAATAGTTTTATATTGCACAAACTAACATATTTTTGAAATGAAGTCTTTTTCTTTCTTCATAATATAGTTTACTTTAAACTGCACAACCGAACGAAATATTGTCGTGTACAAGAATATATTAAAAGTGTTATTAAAAGCTGAACAATCACAATTGAAAATGTACATTCTGTAAATATCTATCTTGCACGAGCATGCAAGCATATGCCTATATGTCAAATAAACACAATAACATATACAAATGTATGTCAATTCACAGCCCAGGATGGCTTAGTATAAATCAACAATGTCATATATCCTCATAGCGGCCAACAGTTTTACAAGCATTTTCAAAGTGTCATGTCCAAATAAATAATGGAATCTACGAAAGCTAAAAGGTGCCACCTTCGTGAATCCATTACATTACACTATGACCATTGAAATGATATAATGATATCACGAAGTAATATATACTAAAGGTTCTCAAACTGTGTTTAGATAATATGCATGCAATTCCTTTCTTGTAATTTCATCTATTATAAGTATATCATATCTTTATTAACTTTCAGAATGGCTGTCTTGCCGGATGTCTGACCAACTCCTGTTTGATGACGCCGATATATGCCCGCCGTGCCTTCGCTCATGCCAAACTCGGTTAGTCATTTTTGCATTGGTCTTTTTGTATATAACTATTGTTTGTAGCTTAAGATAAATAACTCTTGTTTGTAGCATATACGCTTTCGTCGTCATGTATTTTTACAGAAAGAGTCGGAAAGCTTTTATTTGTATAACTTTTGTTTTCTTAAAATTCATTTCTCCTGTTTGCATTCTTTTATGTTTTTATAAAGAAAAAAGTAAGGAAGTCTTTAACAAAGTGTCTAGATAATTTAGAATTGCTAGATTTTGCTTATTAAATTTACACATTATAAGGTTTCCCAGCATAATTAATATAAGGCGTTAATACCATAAAGCAACGGTTCATAAGAACGTTGGAATATAAATGACGTTTATTCACATTAAGCCTGGTACATTGCCCACTTTAGGTCATTAAGCTGAGAATCAAATAAAAAATATATCTAAATTTTATCTCGTTGTGAAGCACTCTGTATAGGTCATCTGAGGACGATTTACCTGATGTTAACACTTGACAAAGTGTTAACAACATAACCCACAGATACGGAAAATCAATTAACCCCAGTCTTATGGCACCTGGTCGTAGAACAAGGCAGATTATCGGATTAACTTGATGTGTTTATTGTGTAATTCAGACCGAACGAGATTTAATCTCTTTGTTTATTTAACAAGCCGATTATTATTAAAGCATATCTTAATAAATCAATTATTTAAATATCATGGTGATTCAGGAGTTTATGTTATTTCATTTGAATAATTTATCCCATAATGCTCTTCTGGATTAAGGGTTGTGATGGCCTTGTGGTTAAAATGTCTGCCTCTCAACCAAGGGATCATGGGTTCGAGTCCTACTTGGGTCACGATCATGTTTCTTTATATGACACCAGTATACTTGTTGGTTCCAGAAAGCGGACTCGAAATGATTAATATAAGTTGCAAGAACTTGTTTCGCAATCGAGCTTAAATAAATATGTTTAAACTAAACTTAATTAAACTAAACTAAACTAAACTAGACTAATGCTCTTCTGATGCTGCTGATTAACACTTGGGTACGTGCTGCCTACAGTTTACAAATATTGTTTTTTGAATTAAAAAATATAATTATTCCAATATGCCTGTATGAAAGAAATATGTTGGTTCTTGACCTTTTGACCTAATGATGCATGCATAAATACATTGCTAAACAGTTAAAAACCTACTGAGAATAGCATTTCAGAAACATTTTATTATGTTTGTTTGAAATATTCATGTCATGTGTGTCAAATAACAGAAACATTCTACAATCGTGGAATATATATGCTTAAATCTCTCGGCACAATCTTTCAATATATATATTTTTTATTTCACTATATTTTTTATATTTCACCATTTTCTTTCATACTTAAGGATCATACAAACTGGCACTAAAGGACGCCGAGAAGGCAGTAGTTTTAGACAGTGACTCACCGGTAAATATACCTTTAAATCTCAATAACTGTCATAAAAATATAGCTCTTTAGTTTCGAAAAAAAAAATTCAAGTTTGAAAGAGATACAACTATATATATGTACAATCATTTTAAATTCTAAGGTTCACATGGTGTTAAGCCAAATAGAATTGAGTAAAATGTAAGCAAAACTATTTCAGAAATTTACAGCGTACTTAGATATGCTTTTGCAATATTCATGGTACATAGAGTACATCATTTCATTTTTTTTAAATTTCTTAAATATGTTTGAAAATGAAATAAAGGACTTTCAAGTATAAATGATTTAACGCACTTAAGTTTCTACCTTTAGAAGATAACAATTTAGGCTATAATCACTGATGAACGTCTGTAAATTATAACTGATAATGATTTTTACCATAACAATATTTCAATCATGAACGAAAAGCAAGACCCGGGTCTTAGGTAATGACATTGTGATGACGTCATCAAATGAAACAGTTTCTATGTGAGTAAAATACGAAAATAAGAAACATATATAAAACATAATTGAATTAAATTGTAGGAACATATGTTTACCAATCAATGAAAAAGTTTACCAATAAATCACATGTAGATATTTTTTTCAATCGTTTAAGTTTTTTTTCTTGCAAAGGTTACGAATGTGTCCTTTGTACCACATGTCAGGGACTGATATATGTGTCGCGTAAATTAAAAACAAGCGGGATATATGTAACTTCCTTTAATGGAACAGTTATGAACAGTATGTTTTTTACTGTTACACTTACGAACCGTATCTTTTTCACTGTTACATTTATAATCCGTATCGACCCCTTCCATTGTTACCTATATGAACCATTTCTTTTTCACTGTTACACTTACGAAACATATCTTTTTTACTGTTCCTCTTACGAACCGTATCTTTTTCACTGTTACACTTAAGAACCGTATCTTTTTCAACTGTTACACTAATGAAACGAATTATTTTCACTGTTACACTTAATAACCGTATCTTTTTCTGTTTTTCACTGTTCCACTTACGCACCGTATCTTTTTCACTGTTACACTTATGAACCGTACCTTTTTCACTGTTACACTCATGAATCGTATCTTTTTCAGTGTTACACTTACGAACCGTACTTTTTTCACTGTTACACTTATGAACCGTATTTTATTCACTTTTATACTTACGAACCGTATCTTTTCACTAACACTTTCGAACCGTATATTTTTCTTTGTTACACTTTCGACCGTTTCTTTTTCATTGTTACACCTATGAACCGTATATTTTTCACTGTTACACTTACGAACCGTATCTTTTTCACTGTTTCACTTATAAAACGTATCGGGAGCATTTGATACTACATGATTTTGAGATTCCTATTTGATGTTCTTAATTTTTTTTTCTTATCCTATGATATGTTGTATATTTCAGGATGTTTACTGTATACGTGCGCTTGTGAGAAGCACATTTGACGATGAGTTGATGGTAAAAAACAATATTTTATTGTTCTTTAAAGGCGTATGCTAGGGTTACATACTGCAGAATGAAAACAACAAAATGGAATTTATTAAAAAAATGGCATGATCTAAGATAATGATAACAGTAAAGCTATCGAGTTACCGACTTAGTTGTCGCGTTATCTTCCTTTAAATTTGAATAATTTAAGCGCAGATGATTCACAAGGAAAGTACAAATTGTTTTTTCCTTTGCTGCATTTCATAAAGCTGACCTCAATTCGAGTGATTTTGCAAAACTTTCATTTGGTTGGCTAAAACTGAGTGATATTGTCAATGCCCTAACAAAACTGTTCTTTTGATCACGATTGGCTGGCATCTGTCCATTGGAGAGCTAGCACGCTTATAAAACTAATTAAATTTAATACTTCAATTTGATTGGATCAACCTGGTCTAAACATAATGAATAAATGAGCCGCGCCATGACAAAACCAACATAATGGGTTTGCGACCAGCATGGATCCAGACCAGCCTGCGCATCCGCGCAGTCTGATCAGGATCCATGCTGTTCGCTTACAAACCCTATAACAAGTAGAGAAACTGAAAGCGAACAGGATGGATCCTGATCAGACTGCGCGGATGCGCAGGCTGGTCTGGATCCATGCTGGTCGCAAACCCATTATGTTTGTTTTGTCGTGACACGGCTCAAATCATGTATACTATACTGACATTTTGATAAAAAACATCGTTTGTATAGGTGAAAGTTTTGTAAGTGATATGCTCCCATTTGTCATTATAAATAACACAGTTATTAAAAAAACAGTGACATTTTCTAGTTACATAGCTGAATAATTGATAAACATTTTTAATTAGTTATAAAAAAGCTCTCTAAAGGAAATTGAGAAGAAAGCATTTTTTTTTTAATTTTCGTCATTAACATTTAATGCATTACTAAACAACATGTCTAATTGTTTTCCATTCAATAGTCCCATATTCAAAGAAACAATAAAACATCATTTATTTAATTTATCTTACAAAAATATTTCCTAAATAAAATAAAAAAATTAAATCTTCAAATGACAATGCTTTTTTTTAATGTGAAAAACATATATTGAGGGGTATCATGAGGTGACCAAAACAAATTTTCAGATAGTCTCAAATAAGTTAAATTCGACTTTCAAAGTTGCAAATCTTTATGAAAACTTTATACAAATTATATTTAAATATCATAGACATTTATGTGTTTAAAAGAAAGACAACAAGAAACATTTATATGTTATAGGTATGTGACGCCAAATACTTATGATTTTGGCCCAATGACTTCCCTTTTAATATATCTGTCTGTTTGCATGCGTAATTGTCAATATGATCGACTTCAACCAGACCATCATAAATGTTACAGGATGAAAATACATATTGATTAATTCTTTAGAATATGATTGATTTACGAGGTAAATTATTGTAATGAATACTATTTTAGCATGACAAATAGAAACACTGTCATAGATAAATGTGCAGACACAGACAAGGCGTCACCGTGACGTAAAATATTACATCACTTATGCATCTTGATAAAAATCAAATAATTGAAATAAACTAAAATAATAAAAAATATAATAAAATAATAAGTTCACAACAATGTATTTCATTTTTTAAAAGATTTAACAATTCAGTGTGTTTATTTTTAGGAAATAAAGAAAAGCAACTTTGCTGACGTTATATTTTTCTCTAAATCAAGTGCTGTATCTCAAGTCTCCTGTATCAATTTATCATTATCCCAGTGAGAAGTTAAGAGAGTAACCATTTGTTAAGATATTTATTCAACAGTTTAATGAATGATCTATATACTGGCTTCATTTTGTCTGAAGTATTAGAAGAATGAGGTGTATTCCAACTGCACAGGAATACTAAACTATATAAATTTATCTATTTATAAATGATATAAATTATGTATATATTCAAAACAAATGTAATGCGTATTAAATTGTCTTTGATTTATTATTTAGAAAAAATAGCGTAATGCAGTTCAAAGTGTCATAAGTTGATATATTTATGAAAACATCCGTACAATGATTTGATGTACCTAAAGTGAAAAACGTGTACTATAACTTTTTAAATTTCTGATGAATTGTACTTATAATGATTATACGTATGTATAATATACAATTTTCGCTGAGAGCCCGAACACATATCATGGATACGGGATACTTATTTTTACAGAAACGAGACATCAATATTCTCGTAAACTACATCACCGTCATGGAACAATTTGACAAGACCAAACTGCTTGGTAACAGGACAAAATTGTATAGTTTCAAGACCAACTTGTTTGATTACAGGACCAAATTGCTTGGTTTCAGGACCAAATTGTTCAGCTACAGGATCAAATTGATTGGTTGCAGGACCAAAATGATTGGTTTCAGGACCAAACTCTTTGGTTATAGGACAAAATTATTTAGCTACATGACCTAATTCTTTAGTCACAGGACCAAATTGCCTTTTTAAAGGACCAAATTGTTTGGTTAAAGGATCATATTGATTGTACTAAGAACTTATTGATTGGTTTCAGGACCAAATTGTTTGGTTACAGGACAAAATTGCTTGGTTTCATGCCAAATTGATTGGTTATAGGACCAAATGGATTGGTTGCAGGACCAAAATGATTGGTTTCAGGACCAAACTGTTTGGTTATAGGACAAAATTACTGGGTTGCTTTAAACATCTCTTTAGACTCAAACTTGGCAGAGTATTGTCTATCTTGCTTGTAAACTGTAACCTTTGCAGTATCAACCTCTTTTATGTACGGTGAATAGTTTATTATATAAATTCATTTTGCTTCGTGGAAGGAACTTAAGAGGGAGGGAAATGGTATTCCCCTTCATGACTGTAGTGTTTCCAGCAGCATTGATTAAACTTACGGATCACGATACGATTGAATCTTATCCCTGAAACAGAATGAAACAATGTTTGTAAAATCAAGTAATCACATAGAGAAAATGAATGCAATTCGCTTTTGAATTCATTTTTAGATTTTTTCATATATATATTTTTAATAAATTAATGCTGTAGTAATGTAACATAAATGTTTATAAATGTGTTCATTGACAGGGATTAAAAGACTTGGAGACAGCAGTCAAGTTGGACAAAGACCATGTTTGTGCGACAATGCTAAAAGCATCTTTTACAAAGCCTTTGGTAAGTTTAAATGTATATACAAATGCATGGAATCAAACATAATTCAAATTGAAACAAAGTTCTTTTGATTGGTGCTTTTGTTGTATATGGTTTACCAAAAATTTCATTTGAGAAAAATATTTTTATCTTTGCATCAACAAAAAGCATAATATGTGTAATTGTGACCGATCACCATTCAAAGGGAATAAAGATCAAATAATATAACAAAAACTAAACTGTAAAATTGTTTTCATATTCTTATAGACGTAGTTTAGTTCTAGTTTCATTACACATAATTATCACATAATACAGAAAGAAACGTTTGCTAAATACTCACTCGCTTCCTTGGTAAATTAAGCGGTGATTTCGTGCAAGGAGCACTCACTTTATCAAATGCTTTGGAAACTATCTTTCTTTAGAGGTTATTTTCAAGATACAAACAAATATTTGATATCAACTACAGACAGTCCAATATAGCTTTATACCCTTTGATATTATTGTATCATTTAACGAGATTTAATATAATATGAAAACTGATTTTACAAGATTTCATGTCTAGGTAACTGACGAGAACGAGCAATATGGGTTTTTCGGAAAGGTATTTGTCACAAACCATCCCAAATAACCTTTATCCTAAGACACGAAATTGTCCATAGAGCTTCCCTTAATCATATGCTGATACGTTTACAGTATAAAGAAATGTTTGATTACTGAGAATTTCACTTATTACACATTAACTCCCGAAATATCCCTACACGAAACATTTGCCATTACAATAAAAAAGAGCTTCACATGCAGAAGTAAACCTAGTAACATAATTAAAGTGTTATACAAAGCTATAAACGGATTATTTTTTTAAAGTGAAATTGTTCTAGGAGTCATGATTATGTTTGCTTGCGCTGGTATTTCAGCTGCAGCAAAAACCAGCATCATTTTTATTTGTCTAACCAGAATCGAGTGCAGAATATAAACCGTTTGCTTGCTTTGCTTAAAAAGCACTGGTCACTGCAATCATTTACATGCTTATCCTCCAAACCAAACGCACTGTTATCGCAGTATAGATGTCTATTTTAACATCTACAAATGTTTCTAAAAACATAACTAAAGTTAATATTGTGAGTTCTGCTGGTCGGTGCTAGGGGGCATGGACTGCATACTGCCGTCCATGAACATGAGAAATCACACGAAGCCTGCAACATATTAGTTAATTTTGTGTTTTGTGTCCTACGTTACACGTTTACAGTATAATATCTTTATAAGACACATATCTTTTATTCACCTAATAAAATATGGCCTTCTTTAGGTGATAAATATCAGATAGGACAAATAAAAACAGATACAATACATGTATATGAAACAAAGGACAGTTTCATTAAAAGAAAACATTGCTAGCAAAAATTTCAGTTCAAAGTGAAATATCATGCACACTCTTTACTCTAGTCACAATCATCATTGTTAGAAATAAAACAAAAGTAATTACACTCTGTCACAAAAGTAAAAAAATAAAACATCATATTGCTTTGAAAAAAAAAAAAAAACAAAAAAAACAAACTATAAGTGCCCTTAAAATGTTCCCCCTTCGAACGGATGCACCGAAATAACTTATAAACGAATGCAATAAAAGGGCCATTGCTCCTATTTGTAGATGCATTTCATGCAATAAAATTTTGTTTATCATATCGAATCCTAGTATCACAATTACATTATATATATTTTTATTTTGTGCTGACTCTTAAGTACTATGGTTTTATGGTAATTTGTCTTCACTAAAACATATTTAATTGATCACGTTTTAATTTGATGTACTTTTAAAAGAAACCCACAATTTTTTAAAACCTTCATTTTGTGTGACACAAAGTATCAATAAATAACAAAAAGCAGACTCACAGTCCTTTGCTTTGTTTTTAACATGTCTTTTTACACCATCATTAAATTTGAGTTACATGTTCAAACTAGAAATTGAACGCTTATGTCGTTTTAAATAGACTAATTTAAGTTAATGATGTGGCCCGGTTATTATTTTACTTGGTTTTCAATTGTAAAATACAGTTTCGTGGTGAAACAAAGCGACAAAAGGCGTATGAGATATTGCGACTAAAGGTAATAATGTAGTACCCTAAATATTGGACACAGATAAATAAGTAGTTCAAATTAGATTTCTTATTTCTGTTCTATAACTAACCTTTTGTCTAATTAATTCAACCAGCATGGTTTCTTCCTTTAGATACTTTTTTGTATTCTTTTTAAAATGCATGCATAATTTATCACATCTATGGCAAAAGGGAATTGGAATTTCTTTGTAGAGTAGGTTGACTTTTTTTCAAGGATCAAAGAATATTATTACTACAGTCGAACTATTTTCTTTCTACTTGTAACAGCATGCACTACTCTTTTTCTTTGTAAATATTTTTTCCTTCTCTTTAATCTATGGTAAAGGCTTTTTATGCATTATTTGTAAAATATTTATTCAAAACAATCATATCATATCATTACAACTGTTTATCTATTGATCAGTAGTAGTAATAACATGTGTTGATTTGTTACACATAATGTAAGAATTTGCATGGTCTCAGCATTTTGGTTGTTGCGTGACAGTCGTTTCTTTACTTCCCACAGCATGTTCTGTTCTTGTTTTTGTATGTAAGCTATATTTTGAAAAAGAGAGACTTAACCAAATGTTACTAGTTCGGTTTAAATTTCACATCTATGATAGAATACCTTTGTATCGTAGATAAATCTTTGGGTTTAACTTGAATGCGTTCTCTGTCTTTTTTGTGCATTTTCAGTCGTCAGCCATTTTAGTCTAAGAGATCTTTCTTAAAACATGTTTATTTTACATTTACAAAAAGACTGTGTAGCAATTATCAATATTTTCAAATATCAAATTTGAGCATAGTATATCTTTAACCATTTGTCTGGTACAGTTTAAAAAGTTTTAAAGAAATAAGCAAATGGTGTATTTTTAATACTAGTATTTGCACAAATCCATTTTATAGTTTGTTCATATTACATACATTGTCAATTCATTCCAAATACTAACCTTTCACCCATATCACTTTATTATCTAGGCAAAGTCTCTTATTTTTCTGAGATCATTAGATCAAACAATCTTTAGATATATAGTTTACAGAACATGGAGTGGTGTGTTTGTGAGATAATCCAATTGTTATATATAACTATCATAACAGGAATATTTCTTTCAGCGATAATCAAAATTGCAAAATCACGCTGACAGTGTAAAAGTATAGCAAAGAAAAAATAGCGTATTTGTGAGACTTAAATAGGAAAATACCTTAAATGTTTAATTTTATTGAATAGTTTTATCTATGTTATTTTATCTAATTTTGTTTCCTAGTTAAGCTTTAAGATATCATGGACCGTATTTGAAATCATGTAAAGAGTTTGTTTGTTTTGGGTTTTACGTCACATCGAAACAGTATAGGTCATATCGCGACGTTCCAGCTTTATTGGTGGAGGAAGACCTCAGGTGCCCTTCCGTGCATTATTTCAGGCACGAACGGGCACCTGAGTAGAACCACCGACGTATGTAAAGAGTTAGTTAATTGATATATTTAATAGGCATTGATTTACTTTAAGTAGATAAATATTATAAAAGTTTCGTTTCTTGACATAGCTTTGCAAACGCCATGTAACTTCATTTTTCTTATTCATTTATTCTTGTTTCTCCGAAAAGAAGCACACAGATATTTATAGCAATGTTAATGAACATTGTTAATGATCCCGGATGACCGTATATCATGTTAAAATCAGTTTTAACGATGTTATTTAGTGTAATATTTGACAGATAGGAAGTTTTGTATCATGTTAGGATTGTAAAAAATATAAACAAATTATTGTTATATTTTTGAATGGTTCAAATATCTATCCATCATATTAAATGTTAACACCGTTTTATATTGTAGTACACCTACTAATACTTTATAAGCATTTACAGCTATCTATCATTTCTGCTTCAACGGTAAAAGTCATTGCTGACATCGTTACATGCTTTTGAATCACTTTTCTTTCAGTTATATTTAGACATTTTAAAGGTTTATTGTAAAATCATGAATTGCGGAGTAGATCATCGTATTTGTTTTGAACAAAGTCATCTGAACCATACAATTTAAAAACCTTCATCTGGATGCCACTTGGTTAAGTATCACGAATCTTAAATGTTTCCCTTTAAATTTGGTGTTTGCCAGGGGCATCCTTTAAAACATTACCTTTCCTGACAAATTTTTAATTTTAGTTTAGGTACACCATATATTACATAATGTAGATGTTTATGTCAGGGTACGAATTTATCATGAAATGAATGTAAAATAAATATGTAATTATAACAAATACGTATTAACAAGGATAAAATAAATGATTTATGAAGTATTGTTCATTTGAATGCAAGTCAAATTCACATGAAATAAAATGTGCATTTCAATGATCAAAACATAAAACCAAATATAAATGCAATTATTTGAGTAGAAAGGAATACAGAAAGGATACAGAAAATAGGAAAAATACAGAGAGGGCGTAATTATAGGAAGAATACATTGGACACTCATATATAGTATGTCCTTTTTCTTATTTTTCCCCGCTAAAATCTCTCCGACTTAGCAATTTTCCAGTTCATATGCCCCTTTCTTTATGTAATACTTTAGCACATATATGATATTTTACAGGCTGTACGTTTATGTCAGGAGGCGGAGACTTATCTAACTTGTAATAGTTTCGTTCATCCATGTATACTAGAATTCTATGATAAGTAAGTCATTATCATTTCTTTCTCTAATTATACTAGTATAAGTGTAAATTAGTGCTTATTTTCATTCTATGATTTAATTTGATTTTAAACCTTAGGTAGAGGAAATAAGCTGATGGCGCATTTCATTATTTCATTTTGTTAACAATGATAGTTTGAATCTTATGTTGACATTTAGCCAACACCGACTGGTTTTTGTTTCGTTACAGATTTTTATTTCCGCTAAGTGTTCCACACACAGTTACTACTATACATCTCACTCCAGATAAACCGACAAAGAAACAGTTGGGTAAGTAACAACTTATATGTTGCTATATTTTCACAGGGGGTCTGTAGCCGTTGACTTTAAACCACTTGTCATGTTGTCCCTCACCACTGTAGGTTCTAATCCCTCATTCTTTAACGTGAAGAAGCTACCCATCTAGCTTATGTACTTTCCATCTAATTAAAACAGATTATATCTTTCAACATATTCTCATCATGTCTGTTTCCAATGTTTAAATTGATGAAACTTACAAAATATCGGTATAAAACCGTTTTTTGTTTTCAGAGAGTAGCCATAAGGAGCCGACAGTGACGGACCATGGAAGTCGACCTACAACATGTACGTCCCGAACAAGCCAGCAATCAAATTCTTCTGAAATCTTCCGCTGTGGAACGACAAACATGGCAGCCAATAACAGAATGTCTTTAAAACGTCGAACTGATTATGGAAATGCTATAAGAAAATTCGTCTCCCGACCAAGTTCAGCTCATGACTTTTTCGGTAAAATTGTTCGAACGTATTCCTTACAAAATAAAGTACTGGTTAGAAAATGTGCTTGATATTTTAAGCAACGTGAGCTCTGACGGAAAATAACTTCATTAATCTAGTTCTATCATAGTTGTTCTTCTTTAATTCATTTTCAAAATACTTAAAACTCGTTTTCTCTTTATTAAACTTACTATGTTCAGCATTCAGCATTTTTTTTATAAAAGGCATACGATTTCAATTTTATATGTACATGTTTTATATATTTTAAATATACAGAACAATTAGAGAAACAGAAACGTTATGAAAATATAAGAAAACGTGCTCAGTCTGCTTTGGTACGACCTGGAGAGCGTTTTGCAAGATATCATTCAACACCTTGTCCAAACGCACAAGGATCGTCTGCAACAAAAACACCTGGAGGGACGCTAGCCCGACCAGTGACGGCGCCTGTTACAGGCAGGGTTTCAGCACTTTCTACAATTCGTGGTGGGTCTCCTGAAAAGGTAAACGCGACTCCAGCTGCGTTTTCTCAAATACCTCATTTTCTTACAGAAAAGGGTGAGTATTTTTTCTAACATGCACTTTATTGTGTTTTATCAATTTTCTTATAAAATCTAATTTTGGAGTTTTTGATCAACAATATACAGATAATTATAGATTGAAGAATTTTGAAACATATTTTCATTACAGTTTTATCAATCAGTTACACAATGTTATGGTATTCGGTAAACACATGAACAAACCCTTCCTTTAAACATCTTTATACGTAAAACATATAAATACTGACAGTAACATAAGTGTTAATAAAATTACAAAGAATAAATTCACATTTCCCTGTATATCTGTTAAAAGACATGCATTGTTTACATTGAATGAGAATAAAATTGATAATGACATATGATTCAGAAAGAGCAACTTTAAAGAGCGCAGTTGACAACATTGCGGATAAGCCTCCGAAACTCCCCATAAGAAAGAAAATCTTGATCGAGACGCCAAATGATTATGTCATTCCTGTAAGTAGTCATGTTTTTAAATTTACTCATTCCCTCTTCGCATTCCTGCATTCTATGTAACTTTTGTTTGTTTTATGTGATTAGATTAACAAACACTTTTGGAGATAGTTTTGAATCTTTATACAATTTTTGAAAATGTGTATTTATTCATTTCGATTTACTTAGCGAGTCTTTGAAAGACTGTCATAATTATACCAACACGCAGATACCTTATGTTCATCCAGACATTTGCAGATATCTGATTCACAAACAGATTTAACGTTGGCGTTACATTAACATTTCCGTTAAAGGCCCAGTAAGCCTCATGCTTTTTATTTATCAAAAACTTTTTATTTTTGGTTTATTGTTACAGTTTTAAAAATACACACGAATTATCTTTAGCTTCTTTTTATCTGTTTGCAATTACATGTAGTATAATAATAGTGAATTAGTATTTTGTACGGAAGTCTAAATACGAAATAAATTTGTTTACATTTAGCTACTTTTATGACAAATTACTTCACATTTAGCGTTACATTCTTCAGTAATTACACATCTAACATGCTCTTAATCCATTATTAGAACATTATTAAACACATGTTTGACATTTCTAAAGAATTAAAAAATGTGGATTTCTGAAGCATATTTAGTGCCTTAAACTAATTTGATCACATTTATTTTTTGAAAAGGACAACACAAAACAATTGTGTTGTGCTTGTCACATGTCTTTTAGTATCACATCACCCGTGTCAACATTTGAACCTTATGAATATTAAAAACATGTCAAAATATCCTCATCGTGAATGAAATATTTCATACATAATTCTGTTTCAGTACAAGCCTATCCTGCTATCGATACATAAATTATACATGTATGAAACACCGATAAAAAACAAATGACATAGATAAAGTCTCTGTCACTCTGCCACCTTTATTTATATGAAGTAACTCATGTTAACTTATATTTAAATTTCGGTATCTTGTTACAATTTCCAAAACATTACTCATTTGTCATATGGATTAACTAACATTTGCTTCTGTTCCTGTAACTGGTATAATTATTGTGAATTACATTTCTGTATGGAAGTCAAAATACTACTTTGTTTACATTGAGCTATTTTTCGACACATTGCTCTGTGTCAATGCTACTTTCTTTATCTGTTAAACATTTAACATGCTCTTAAACCATTATTAAAACATTTTAAGGTATTAGGACCCTAATGGGCACTATCAGGAACTAAAAAATTGACATCGTAAGTCAGATGTATACCTTAAAGTACACCTGTATGCAAAATTTAAACAAAGTTTACCGTACGGAAATCAAGTTATGGCCACTTTTCTGAACTCAAGCTAGGATGTTATGAGGGCCCTTTTTTAGAAAGTAGGAACCTTTAAATAATCTGCAATAACATTCTAATGAAAAATGTTTTCCCATTAATTTTTGGTAAGAAACAAATAGTACCATTCAGCTAACAATCCAAATAAGCAAAATTATGGTTTCTATTTAAAATTTATGAAATCTGTATAAAAATGTTACCCTACCCCACCCATTTTTACCACGTGTCTGACCATTTTTCTACTTAGCCTAATTTAAAAAAATTCTTAAAATTTACCCAAATGAGTGCCTGTTTACAAAGTTTCCCTAAATTTTTAAAAAGTATATTGGTTGATCTTGTAAAATATGAAATACTTTTACCGTCTAGTTTTGATTATATTACACTTTGAAAATATCAGGTACCATATTTATTACTAGATTTAGCATAAATTAGCCAATAAATTACCTATATAAATTAAAAAATCAAAATTAAACACTTTTTTCTTTCCAAATGGGACATGAGAGATACATAAATAATGTTAAAAGAAAAAAAGAAAGAAAAAAAAAGTTGACCCTTCTGGGGATTGAACCCATGGCCCTCATTTTCAATGTAGTTAACAGTAGTTCTAGCCTATTTGAATACTCTTCAAAGCGGAGGTAATGCATTAGGGTGCTAATACCTTAAACACATGTTTGACGTTTCTAAAAAATAAAAGATATGGATTTCTGAAGATTAAGGTGCTTTTAAAGAACTTAAAAAGCGAGCATTCAACTATGGTGGCTGATTTGGTACACTTTGCGCGTTGCGTTGTCGATAGCGACAACACAACCTATATCGTTATCGCCTTTTTGTCTTGTCGTCCTGTCTCAAGCGAAGCACGCCAAACGGCGCGTTGTCGTGTGGTGCTTTGTCGCGATGTCGCCCTGTTGCTTGGCTCATAAGCCAATCCTTCGAATTGAGCCGAGCGACAATGTGACATCGCGACACCATGCCGCACGACAACGAGCCGTTTGGTTTGCATCGTTAGCGACAGGACGACAAGACGAAAGTCTGACAACGCGCCATTTGACGTTTTGTCGTTCTGTCGCTTGCGACAACACGAAACACAGAAGCATTCCAAATCAGCCACCATATTTAACCCAGTAAGAGTCTTTTATGCAATACCTTGATGGTATTGTAACTGCGCAAATAATTGATTTACTGGCCATCGTTGATACCTTTACTAAACACGGGCTAAAATACGGCAGGTGAATAACTTGCCTATGGGTCTTATGTTGAATGTCGATACTAATTACAATGATGTTAACAATGTTGACGTGTTTATCCGTCCAGATTGTCAGTCATTACATTGAATATTGTTTATAGCTATTTTATTCATTCACCACTGGTCTTGTCCATGTATGATCGATTAACAGAATCGAATATAAACAAGAAACTGGGGATAATAAAACTCACTGTTCAATAACTGTAACTGTCTTTCTATATACATAATTATAAATAATTATTAATAAATGTAATCACTTTCATAACTTTTTAATATGTAGGTTAATGTCTTAATTAGATGAAATATTTCATTCACGCGCGTAGAATATTTTTGGCATGTTAAAATTATATTAAATGTTTAAATGTTGACATGAAATGCATTGGTTTTAAATGAGGATTGACAAAGACAGCGCGAATGTTTTTAAGTTGTCTTCTTAAAAAATGCAAATGGGATCAAACTTGATGACGGAATTTTTAATGTGACGCCAAATTTACATCCGTTTGTGATTTATATTAAATGTAGATATCTGTATGAAAAAAAGATTATATTATCGACGATGTTTCTTTTTAAAAATGCATATAGACTCGACCTTTAAACTTTAATAATTTATTAGCTATATAGATTGAAGTATCCTTCTTGGAAATATAGGTAATCAATTATAGGTTTATAATAGGTTTTGGCATAAAGTGTCAATATTTTGTTGAAATGAACCTAGAGGTCAAGTGTATTGTCAAAATGCAGTTGTTGTTTTTTTGGGATAAAATAACGAGCAAATGATGTAAATATCCTATTCATATAGATAATTCATTAATGAAGACACATTTAACATTATCAATACATTTGAATGCATAAAAAAGCGCGGAAACAAAGTTAGGTTGATTAGACTTGACTGCCAAATTACGAAAATAAAGTAAATAGTTTGCTTTGTAGAGGTAAAGAAAAGAAGATTTTAGACATTTTCTAGCTTTATTTACGCTTCTTAGATATAGTTATGTATTTTTTATATTTTGTTTTCAGGTATTCCAGTCAGTAAATATTAAAGGTGCACCGCGCATGTATTACAAGTAAGCTTCATCGTATACTGTTTATATAAAACAAAGTCATGTTTTACAAGGACTCCAATGAGGTTTTTTTTTTACATTTTTACATGAAGGGACTAGAAATTATTTTTGCGATTAATGTCCCTCTAGACCAAAATCTTGTATGCAAAATTTCAGATCATTTTCTCTTTCCATTTTTCCAGAATAGTTACTCTAATTGTGAAAAATTAAAAAAACCTTGCACCGTCTTTTATTCAGATCGGGCTTAGAATAAATTAGCACAGGAATACGATTTTCAATTAATTTCTAAGAATATTTCTAAATTGACATTTGCATTTTTTTCTGTTGTTAATTTTTGTACATCAGCTGATTTATGTAAGGATTCAAAGTTTATGTTTGTGTTGCACCTCAGTGGAGTTCCTTTAAGATTAAATCTCCACAAAAAGCATTTCACATTACCTGCATCGTCAAAATGCATATATAATTATGTGCGAAATTAAATACATTCGCGTCCCGACCTTTTTATACTTATTTTATATATACTTTGTCAGGTGCAAACCATGTGAAGTTAAAATTTGTCATATAAATTGATAACAGTTTTGATGTGGGCGGTATAAAAACTGGATGGCCTATTACCAATCCAAAAACATGCTGTTGTTGTTTTTTAATCTAAAAAGGTTGCACTGACTTAAAAAGGAAAAAGAATCACCTAAATATCAAAATCATCTTACGCCAGTTTTGATTGTCATTTGATTTGATAATTTAATAATTACGCTCAATATTTAGCTCGTTATTTTTTTGACCGGAAAATGTAGGTGTCGTTCCGGCATATTACCGTACAATTTTGTTACGGCTTTAAATGTCAATTACTTCCGTTCATCACTATAGCGAAAAACAGTAATGCAGATGTCACGATTTATATCAAAATTGACAGATTTGTTTACTGTTTTATTATTTAGTATTCTATGTTTCTACTTGTAAGATGTTTTAGTGATCGGATATAGTAATCGATCATGTCTCTATAGGTAGGCGCGGGAAGTATAAACGCCCAAAAACAACCAGTTGTATACCTATATTCGGAGGAATTTCAAATATCTATATAATACTATTTATTAATAGAATGAGCCATTCTTTTACAGTATATTTTACACTCAGACTAGTACTTTTTGTCATACATGTACACTGATTCATATTATTTAGGATGCACATAATTAAAAAAAATGTAGAAAGGAAATTTAGTTTATTTTAGCGCTAGAACTTCCATTTGAACACATTTATAAAACATAAATCTTTTAATCATTAAAATGGCTCTGAGTGTAAGAACGAAAACAATATTGCAATGTTAAAAAGATTGTTTTGATTTATCGATATTTTTCTTAAAATTTCATATATTGTTTGAAACAAAAGCGAATATATTTGAAAGATGCTGAAGAAAAAGCTAAAATTCTTATTTGTGTATCCACTGAATTTTTTAATTGTAAATGCGTTAATTTTATTATTTTTCAGACCATGGGGCGGAGACAAACTTCCTGTCGCGGAAAAGAGTACTTTTAAGTATTCGCCTGCTTTTTACTAGTCACAGTTTATCAATTCTTCCTAGCGAAGTGTTGGCATTTTGTTACGTTTAAACAATATTATTCCTATTAACTAGTCATCTAACTGTTTTTCGAAGCCAAAATAATTTGTCTCAACTGTGTACATCTTAATATTGTAAGAACTACGTCTTTTTTTAAAATTGCCCGTCTTGTTTTTTTTTCACTTTCATATTCTATATGTGGATAAGAACTACTTTACTGTTTCCATTCTTTGTGTTTAACGGTAATGGCGTTTCATAGAGTTTTTGTTGGTTTTCATGATCACTCGCCGTAAAATCTAACTCACTGTTTTGATCAAAGAGTATTCTTTTTCAACCGGTGTCATTATATTTACACGTTGTAAAATCTCTTGATAGAATTGATATACTATTAGGCAATAATATAATTGAAAGCTGACAATTATAATGACTTAATTCTGTTTTTGTGTCAATGAAATGTATCTGTCAAACTGCCATTTTTTTTTTACTTGTACCATGTAATAATTTCTATGTTCTAAAACGAGTTGTGCTGTTTTTATTATGCCTTTTTGCTGTTGTTGTTTTTTTTATTTAATTGTATTTTATTACATCAATTTGTAATTCGTTGAAGTTACGTTATAAAATGTTAAACTATAGTTGATTTTTCTTTTTGCCTTTAAATGATACAAACAAGATTTACTGGCGTGCACGTGATACATTTAAATTGAGAGATTTACAGTGAATTAAGGAATGAAATAGTAATTCATGCACCGGTGTCATTTTATTGACACGTTGTAAAATATTTTCGTCAAATCCCGCCTACGAAACTTTTCAAATCTCGTATTTTCCCACAGAGGAATAAAGAATTACCGAATGAAATTGCTAAAAAAAATAAAGAATTTCGTGGACGACTTAATTGGTTACAGAACCTTTATTTGAATACTCTATAACGACAAAGACGAAGCACAACGATGCTAACAACAACAATAATAATGATAATGATAATAAATAAATAAAAAAAAAATAAATAAATAAATAAATAAATATAATAAATAAATAAAATAATAATATTATTGATTATTATACTGATGATAATATAATATAATATAATGCTTTATTCAATATCAATATGTACTTGGTGATATAATGAGGTAATGATGATGATGATGATGATGATGATGATGATGATGATGATGATGATGATGATGATGATGATGATTACAATATTTATCATGTGACATTTTATAGCTTTTTATAGACCTACTATAAAGTCAATTAAGATACACTACTTAAAAATGTAAATCTTGTTATGAATGAATAATCATTGATTAAACAAAAAAACTAAATCAAAATAAAAACAATAGGCAATAGCCATTTAACTTTAGCGCATGTACCTTAGAAAAGTTTAGCAAGCTAACTAGTACTAACTTCTATTCGTGACAGGCGATATCTGTACCGTGATATTTTTAGGGACGACCTTCACAAGTGATTGGACGCTTGATATTTTTTTACATAAATGATTCATACAAAAAATATAGATCTACTATTAATGTAAATACTGTCATAATTAATGATTATTTGTTTCGCATTAAAAGTCGTGATGATCAAGTTATGTTAAGCATACTGGTAAATTAATGGTGTTGAATATTTCGGAATTAAAAAAGAAGTTAGTGTTAGTTTTCAATCGTTTTTCGTCAATGCGGAATGAAACAGTTTATTTATTTGCTTAAATAATTGTTATATTAAAACATGAATGTGTTTCGAATTCGATCGTTTGTTTATTTGTATTTATTCGGATGCATTTCTTTAATAGCAGATTGCAGACCCTCGAACGGTAAGTATAAAAAACAATTAGAATTAACGAAATAAATTTTTAACAAGAATATTTGATAACAATTCACGAATAACTTTTTAATAATTTTTGTTCTATCGAATGCTTATTTTAGAAAGTTTATTTAAACATATTTTATCAATGACATGAAATTGTATGTTAAAAAATATCATTCCATAACATTTTCCTTTTTTTTTCATTCTTAAATATTAGAAAACAAATTGCAATATCAAGCTCATTCAAAATTACACATGTTATAGATTAAAATTCGACAATAATTTTAATGAAAATGTTAAAGAAATAAAACTAAATTGATATTCAAATGCATATAAAACTCTTTAAATGGCGTAAATAACTGATGGCTATAAAAATACTTTTCTGTATGCTCAATATCATTTAGCTTTATTCATATACATAGCAACTTGTTGAAAAAATAATGTTCGCTGCATTACATTTGAATGAAAAAGAAAATAGTCTTCGCTTAAAATGAACGGAATTATTTGTTATTAGCAAAAAACAGGTATACTAGCACCATAACAATTTCATGTTCGAAAGTAAAATTAACTCTATAGAATTCTAAAAGTGCAAAAAGTTCGCAAATCGTTGCGTTTCATATGCCCAAAAGTATTTTATGTAAAGAGTGTTTTTGGTTGAATCTGACGTCGCACCAACAAGGTAAAGGTCATATGGCGTGTAATGGCAACCTTTCAGCTTTACTGGTAGAGGAAGACCTCCGTAGCAGTAAGAAAAGGATTTGCGTAGAATGTAATTTTAGTTGTTCACGCGTTGTGCGGCTTGTAAAGGGAGAATACTCAAAGATACAACCAGTTGTATAATAATTATATGTATCTTGTATTGTCAAGTAACATCACCGCTTTCAAGCGATCCATATAAAATGTAACTATATTCGATCTATGGGTTATTTACCATTCACATTTTAACGCTTTATATTTTTGAAGTATCTAATTAAATCAGCCCCATATTTATTGTTAACCATTCTTATGTAATATGTCCTATCTAATGCATGGTAAAAATACAATGAATTACCATTTAACTTTCAGTTGTTTTAATTTTAAATGGGATGTTGAGTAATTTTCCAAGTTACCCACTATTCAATATAATGCTTGAAATGACCGATTATTCAACGTGAGTACTCGAAAGATATGTAAAATAATATGACCTAACAATAATCTACATATTTTTGCCGCTATCAGTTCGAATATTGCCAAAGAAATTAAATTCTTTCAGGCATAAAATGGGAAATGCTCTCCTTGGATTCTTGCACGCGCGCGTTTTAAAGCACGGACTTCTTGCAGATGTGTTTCACAAATCATTCCGCAACAGTAAAGCTTACCGAAAGAAATAAATCTTTCAATGAATGATTAATTAGAAGACGTTATTTTCATCGGAACATTTTAAATTGTAAAAGGTGAAGTAAAGTCAGTCCCCTTTTAATAAATAGATTATTCGTAATGACCTTCTCACCTCATTATGAAATTAATATATTTTCAACAGTGATACATAACAATGTGCATCTACAACTTGATTTTGATTTATTGTTTTTTGACGGATTCATACACTTGTTGACAAGAACATAGCCTATTAGTGAAGTTATATGAAAGTTTGATTTATTTAAAATTTGTTTTGTATTCAAATCGTTTTTCATACTTCGTTGGCTTAATACTACAAACCCGTATGTCATTTTTTGTCATTTTTAGAAAATCGCATTTGAAACTTTGAACTGTAATAACTTTTTAATGATAAACCGTATAAAGGTAAAATTTTCAGTGAATTTAGAAATCAGTATGTTATACAAATATACCGAATTTTATTTATTTGCATACAATTTTAAAGCTAAAATCTCAAATAATTTATTTCAATTTTTCATAATAAATAAGAAAACACATACAAATTCTGAATTCTAAAACCCCATTCGGGAGATACTGGGTTTTTGGCAAAACATTCAGGTCATTTCTATACCATTAAAGCGACATACGGGGTTCTAAGTGAATGATTTGAAGCAAAATTGACTAAGTGTAATAATTTTCGGCTAGAAACATAGCAACAATTCAAGTCAAAAATATCATTAACTTCTCCTACTGTGTTATATATTACACGTCTGTTTGAAAATCAATGCTACTATCAAATGATATCTACATCAATTTTTGAAAAAGTATGCACTTGTTCTGTTACATGTTTAACAACCGTGGGTATCCGACGATGCGTTTCTGTCAGATACCTATGTTGCTATAATGTTTCAATTTTTTATTTAGAGTGTACATCAAGTGGATGCTTTTCGTACTTTAGAAAACAGCGTTGAATCTGAAACAATTTGTCCTTATAGCATCTAGATGTAAACAAAGTGGTATTTTGTCTTCCATTTAAGATAATCTAACATCTAACTATAACTTCATGGATGATCAAAATGCAAATGGAAAAAAAGGGTTCAGCTATATAGCCAATGAGTACCCTTTCAAAAAGTGTAAAAACTTAAAAATAAGAAGCTTTCGGAAACAAAAAAGTTATAGTACTCATCGAGCCTGTCCGAAATGGTAATCATCCGAATAAATGTAGTATTTACATATGTATCTATTTAAGACATTTACTATATAATTCAAAATGATGTTAGAACTTTAAAACTAAATCATCAATATATGTATATTACAGTCAGGTAATATACTATAATTATCTTTAAATAAATCACTAAAGGTTTTTTTCAAATATTTGGTTGTGATAAAGTAGGCAGCCATTACAGATGTGTCATGTATCACGTGGTACAAAATCAGAATGTTTGATTTGACGAGAAGTTACTGGAGTCTAGAATTAAAGTTTGATGTAAATAGCGAGTTACGGGTTTGTGGAATTGGAAATAAACATATTTATGTTAGTTCTACAACTACATAAGTATGTTCACTGTGAAGAGCTCACTGAGACGAAAAAAATGATATAAAAATCTCAATTTTGCCAAAAATCGAGTTACGGGGTTGTAGAATTAACCCGACGACTTGTCTAACTTCATCTGCATAACTTAGGTACACATAACTCACAATAACAAGTAGCCCTGTTTTTTAAAAAAGCTAATTGGTTAGCATAAACTTGTTTAACGATTCAAGTGCACGAAATGCTTGCTGTAGAAAATAAAATTTGATTTTGACTGAACTTTCCTATCCATTCAACAATGAAATCAACAGTCATACCAAAAGAAGTGAACATCTGCGGATGTTTTTAAATTCAAATTTTCACCATAACCACATTGAAATGTTATAATTCAGCTTACGCCGGTGCTAGGGGGCATGGACGATAGTTTTCACTTTTCAGTACCGTCAATAAACAGGTTCAGTCAAACCTAGCTTGCAACATTTTCATTTTTTTGCCGTTTTGCTTGTTCTTCGTGGCTTTCTTTTCTTTCTTTTTTGTTATTTCTATTTTTTTGCTATTAAAGCTGTTATTGCTAGAGAAGTCATACTATGTGTAGAACCTTTATTGTTCTGAATTGGTTGCTGCAAAATCAATTGTATTTTGCTTTGAATATTGATGATATTTTCAAAAGTTATGTATGAATAAGAAGCTTGAATTAGAATTGTTTTATTTCAATTTCTAGAAACCGTTACTTAACATAAAATTATAAACTATGTCTGTTAAAGCCATTTATATGTTATTCTTTTATTTCTTTTTTATTTTTTTTTCGAAAGAGGGCGAATAGGTGTTGTTGCACCAAAACTGATATTTAATATGGCAACGTTCCAGATACTTTTAGAGGAAGACCCGAAATCAATGACCCTAACCACTCGGCCACGGTCGCCCCTGTTTGTCTAGGTAACAAATAATTAATGAGGAGATCAATAACCATTCTACTGCATGTCAATTTTCACATCCATACTGTATGCATAACTTTAAGCAAGATATACTCGACATTAATAAGGTTACAATTGATCGATAATGCCATACGAATGTTGCAAGGTGAACAGCCTTAGTTGACACGTTTATTGCATACTCTAATATATTTCATAAAATTAAATATTATATATTCATTTTCACTCCGCTTTTAAGGTGTTGATACCTTTTCTTTTAATATATTAGCGTCTATTTTCGTATTTTATTACAGATATAATGTCACATTTAATGCAGTATCACTGGTTTGACATTGATTTGTTTGTTGTTTTTTCTTTGCAAAATTGGGTGTTACATTTGAAAATCATCTTCTTTTGACCAATGTCAGAATTAGCCTTAAATCATATCCCTAAAACACCGTTCATGTATACATGTATACTTGGTAAAACAATGATTAAAGTTGTTAAAAAATGATCGATCATTTCTCAAACAATTTTGTCCCAAAATCTCGCGTAATGTAGTTTGAAGAGTGGCAGGAATTGTTGAAACTTCTACACGTTTCCCCGTTAACATGAACAGGACAAAACAGAACATATATTTTATTAGATTACCAAAGGTACAATCATCGTAACATTTTTACAAAATTGATACATTTACATGCAATATAATTAACCAGGGTTTAAACCAGTCTTTATAATAATCAAATCGCAATATCACCACGTAAACTTAAAATTAATTTGAATGTAAAAGAGTTCTCCAGGAATTCAGTTTAATTAATAATATTTAAAAAGAAACATTGAGCAATATAACTTGTTTAGAATTTAATTTACAAGATACATTGTACCTCTACACACCAAACTATGCTCAAGACAACATGACATGCGTACTGGAACACCGAAAACAGTAGACATTTATTCAATGCAGCTATGCATAAAATTAATGTGATACACCATTTGTAAGAAAATATTGAAAACAAATTTCATAAAATTAGTTAAGCATGTGTAAGTAAATAACGAGCTAAATACATATAGATTGAGCATAACATTTACATGTATATTACGACTTTAAATATTTCTACAAATTTTTGTTTAAAGTGTCTTAGATTAAAAAAGAAAAAGACAATTGCTTATATCAGTAAAGAAAGTGTGTAAGGAAACATTGGAATATAGGCGTAATGAGATTCAAAATAACATAATTCCAAATGGAAACCATTTGAACATGTAGTCAGTGTCAAATTTGGAAAGAAACATAAATTGAATGTCTAAATGAACTTTTTATTTGAAAGTTTCCTTTGGTTCGCGTTTGCTTGCTATGGCGTGCTTGTTATGATTATAATTTGTTTTTGTGTTTATCTTTCAAAGCCAACAGTGACAGAGAGAAGAATCTTGGTAGATTTGATTTGCTGGGATTATGGGGGGACGTCTCAAAATTACAACAAAAGCTAAACAGTAAAATCATCTTGACGGAAACAGACGACAAAGGTAAGCATGCTATTTCTATAGATATAATTCTAACATGCTTCACAATATGTATATATAAGTGCTCATCCGTGCTGTTTTAACTTTGGTCCCTCTCGGGAGCCGTCAGAGATTTTTATTTCTGTAGAACAGCTACAGATGAATACATAATTAGTGGCAAGATTAATATTCACGTTATTACGACAATATAAATTAATTTCAGCGAAGCACTATGAAAAATAAAAGGCCACTTATACATGAAAGCTCACATACACATGTATTTTAAATATGTAATTTACTTGCCAGATTTAGTGCATGCCGAGTGTGATTTGAGACCCTATCCGTCGGATTCAAAACAGTTACATAGGGTGTTTGGACGGGTTAAACTACGGCAACATGTAAGTATCAGTATGGCTGACTGGCGTGGGTGCCATTAGGACTGTCTTCCATGACCGTTGGTCTTCATTGTTGATATTTACGCTCTTATTTCTCTTTTCATTCCTTACTTTCCTATCTAAAGAAAATGTATGTGTTTTAATATTTAAGAAACAGTTTCTTAAACAATTTTAATACCATGGTTGCATACGTAATTGAACATTTAACCATACCTTATTTTTGTATTTAATATATCAGCTTTACTGTACAAATCTGTCTTAAATCCAGTAAAACTTTCCGTGGCATGAAGAATTCGACCTACATGAATTAAATAACATTCCCAGAACAAATATTATTCAAATTTCATTAATAAAAATATATTCGTATAAAAAGTTTACAAACATGTAGCCTTTAATTGCTAGAACCGGAAAGGTTTAGCCTTTGCTACGACTACAGCAGAGTCAGGCCAGTCTGCATTTGCCAGCAGTCGTCTGCTGTTGGAAGCTAAACCTTTATATTCTGATATTGAAATCCTTAGATTTGTCAGTTCTAAATGCAAACAATGGAAAATCAATAACATAAATTCAACAGGTTAAGGGTTTGGTTGATTTATCTGAAAAGGCTTTGATGTGTTCCTAGATATACAGTCTATTATTTTCAATTTTAAAATTTGTAAATATGTTATGGACGGTTCGTTGTCGTCCTTATATAGGTGAACGATGGAAAGCCGGGTCCACTACGAATGTCTGTTGATATTGACGGCGTTCCTTCCCAGCGACAGACATGGGGAATGTTCTACAAGTTAGAGGTTCATAGATATGGGGATGTTACTGACGGCTGTAAAAATGTAGGACCTGTTTATTGGAACAAAAGGTAAGTAAAAGAAATACATTTGTTTCTACAAAACTCTCAATATTACGATTATACCATAATATAGGCTGTAACTAGTAATCTGCTGATAGTGAAAGAAAAATGATAGAAATTTATTGTTGATGTCTGTGTAAGAATAATGCACACAATCATACAAAGAAATAATGTTCTCGATGAATATATGTAAACAAAGTAGACGTTTTCATTGAGTTAGATAATTTTCGTAAAATTCTTTTCCGCAGGAACAGCATTTTATAAGAATTTGTCTATTCAATTATTTCAATTGCCTGTTCTTAATGAACATGTGTAAAGTTTTGTATATATGTGTTAGCTGCAACATGTATACATGTAAATTTTCTCTGGGAAATGAAATTTGTGAACAGTTAAACTGACGTTGAAATTGACGTACAATTATTTACAGGTCAATTTTATGAATGGTAGAACTAAGTGTTAGGATTGTCTCAACTTTTTTTGTTTATAACCTTAATTTAGAGCAGTATACATATTTATCACATAAACCCTGGCGTGGGAGTGTAATAAAGCCATTTAATAAAAACGATATTACACTAGTGTAATAACACTTTGACGTGACGTCATTTGCGCTACATAGAAACATAGCGTTAAAGCGCGCTAATGTTAGCGTTACACTATAGGCGCGTCATTGAAAAATTACTCATTTTAACAGTTTACTGTTCTTATTTTATATATGTGATAAATAGAATATTATATTCGTGTAGATTTAATACTAAATTTATTGAACTCGTTGAATAAAACAATATTATGCTCGCCAGAGGCTCGCATAATATGATTTTATTCAACTCGTTCAATAAATTTAGTATTAAACTACACTCATTCAATATCCTCTATGTATTACTAAAAATACATATTTCATGTTGCAAAAGTCACGATAACTTCCGTGCGTCTTTGTTAGTTGCCTGCTTACGAGTTTTTGGTGGTGGTAGTGGTGTTGATAGTTTTCACTCCGGATCACGGCAGTAAGCCACATTGAATTTACCAGAAAATTGTTCAGCCACCGCATCGTTCTTGGTCATGCTGTCAAGCAGTTTAGCATTTCTAGTAGCCCCCAGTTTCACAAGGAATTGAAACTTCTGTACATGCCAGAGCAGAGGTAAAGTGCGAATGACCGTAAAAACGGTTTCATGATCAATCACGAGAGTGACCTGCAACGTCCGGGAATCGAACCTGGGTCGCCCGATTCAGAGTTCAACGCTTTACCTATTGAGCTAACCGGGCGGCTTGAGGCTACTTTTTGTCTATACAAAACTCTTTTATTTTTTATAACACAGATATAGCGGTCATTTAGGAGATTTTATTGGAGACATGTATGGTAGGGTAAATATTGATACAAGAGATGCTCCTGCTACACTAGTCGGTGACTATTCAATCTTTGGTCGAGCAATAGTTGTAAGTGCTTTTAGATTTAACTTTTTATTTAAAATTACAAAGCAAGTCAACCTTATTTACTTTTACTCTTGGATGAATACTGTCAAGTATGTTTGAAACATTTTAAGTGTGTCAATCGTTACTTTAAATTACCTGTTTTTTTACTTTATGCTGATTTATTGTTTTAATTTACATTGTACTAGTCTATATACAATTATTTTGACTCAGAGACAAACTATACCATTGTAAATACATGAAATAACATAAGCCGTTCTTGACTTTTACTGTCTCTGTTCTGTTAGACGTTTATTTCGTTTAAATATTTCCAACGTAACTTCACAAAAGAATTGTTAAGCAATAAGAACGAGTTCTTTTCCCGTGTTTGGAACTCAGTGTTATTAAATAATGATATGATTTGTATGTTTTTCATAAGCTTTACAAGATAATTTTTGATATACTTACTAATTTAAGATAAGACCAGTTTATGCAGCTCCAAGTCGAAGGGTAATTGCATGTTAAACGTTAGATTGTTACATATAACTACTTTTTAAAGTTAGATAATGATAGCATAAATACACAGCATGTCACCGAAAAAATGCCTGCTTCAGAAAATTGATATAATTTATATACAAAATATGGGTTTTTCAAGAAGTGCGACGGTCATACATGGTCATCAATACCAAAATTAAGTATATTATGAAGAACTCAAAGCTAATAAAATGCTGAAAAAGCCACAGGACAAAACCAAACACTTACATTAGCCTTTAGTGGGAGAAAACGCTCAGCCTGATAGAATCAGCTTAACAAATGCAAAAGCTGGTACAAAAGCAAAACTGAATTGAGAAAGAATACGCGACAAATAGCTATTATATTAAGCTGTTTAACAAAAGTAATATTAACGCAAGCAAGCTCCAGTCCTTAAAGCTGAATAAACACATAAAAGCCGTAAAAGCTTATATAAGCAAATTATAGCCGTAAAAGCTAATATAAACAAATTATAGCGGTAAATTTTAATATAAGCAAATTATAGCCGTACATAGCTTAAGGAACTTATAGCTGTAAAAGCTTATTTAAGGAAATTATAGCCGTATAAGCAGTCATAAGCAAAGCGATACAAGCAAATAACGGCCGTAAAAGCTGAAACATATAAGCAAAACATTCAAAAACAACACACCAACAAGTGCATAATGCGTATGTATATTTGCATTTTTGAGAAAACTTTTCAGTGTTAAAATTAGTCAACTAACATCATATCTTTCATTTCTCTGCATGATTATTGCATTACTGATCTAGCATCTAGTATTTCCTTTATAACATTAGAAAATTATATTCTTCTCCTCAGGTATACATATATTCTTATAAACAAACATAGAATGTGTTGTACATTATGTCTGATCTCGTGACTAAATTGGTAATATGTATATGTAATTATATATATTATTCATATATTTGCATCAATTCTATTCATAACATTTCTAGGAATTTTAAAAACTAAATAATGAAACTTTCTTAAAAAATATTATCATTCAATTCTACACACGAATTCATAATTCAAGGTTACATCAACAAAACCTTCAGCTTGATAAAAGTAGTTTTGCAGTACTCAAATAGTATACATGTATGCATTTAAATAATTATTGTTTGTTTGTTTTTTTTTGTTTACAGCTCCGAAAAGTGATGGATATGGAACCAGTCGGATGCTGTGTTGTTGTAAGGGACAGGGTCGAGAAAGCTGTAGCACCCGCCCCACCACCGGAAGAAACAAAATCGATAGCGGTGCCATCAAATTGGACCAAGTCACCAATAGTTCCTAGTGGAAACTTACAAGGATCTAACGTTCCGTACACAAGAAATATACCACCTCCTTCTTTTTCAAGAATTCCTGATCTTTCGATTGATGGTTCAAATTTTCGAAACATGCCTATAGATTCACGACTGTCCAAAGGCACGTCCATCTTTGGACCGGGAGGAAATAAAGCAGGGACTGATGACAAAACACGTTTTCCAGATTTGTCTTTTAATTCGCAATATCCAAATATGCTTCATACCGAAATTACCTTCCCGTTTGTAAATAATTTCTTTTTTGCCACACCCGAAGACGTTGTTCCTCTTGACAGTAAGCGACACTTCTTACCGCCATCAGAAATGAATGACTTTTTACCTGATTTCATTAAAGACTTTATCGGCGACACAAAAGATTTTGTCGGCGATGCTTCAGATCTATTAGAGGATACTGCTGATAACATAAAGGACAAGATAACAGATGGCGGCTCTGATTTGATAGATAATTTAGATGATATTATCAAAGACGGAGGGGGCGATATAAATGGTATTGATATAACAAGAAAGGTATTTGGTGGTTTGAACTCCGAAGAAAGAGATCTAAATGAACTAGAAGATCTTATTGAAGATGCTGCTGATAATGTATCTGATAAAATTGATGACATCTCTGATGAAGCAAATGATAAAGAAAATGTTTTAGATGAAATAAAAGATAAAATTGAAGATACCATTGACGACGTTTTTGATGACAGAAGCGATACTTTTTCAGAAAAATCTGGTGACCTACCAAACATAATTGAGGACAGTATGGAAGATTTAATGGACAGCGATGGACTACTGGATGATAGTTTTGACGATGATTCAAAAATTACTGATTTCATGCCTGAAATTACTGAAAATTTGAGTGATTCTCAAGAAGATTTGATGGACGACATTATGGACAGTGATAATGAAATAGCTGATAAGTTGGAAGATATACAAGATAATATCTTACATAGTGATGATACCGAAGATGGAAGCAGCAGCGAAGATGATGAAACTGATGATGCTGAAGAAGATGATAAGAACAATTCAATTGCCAGTGATTCTAGTAATGTTGACGATACTATTGATGACAACGATAGTGTTGATGACGATAATGATGGTGACGATATCACAGATATTTCGTTAAATGAAATGACTGAATCAGAAAATGGTCTTTTGGGTGATAATTTAGATGGTGATGAAAGTATTTTGAACAGCGATATATTTGATGATAGCATTGGTGATGGTAATGATTTAGGTGAGTTAATTGTTGAACCTACAATTGAAGATGTAAAGGAAAGTATTGAAGATGTTCTTGATGATCACAAAGGTATATTAGGTGATTTTGACAACACTTTAGACACTGATACTTTCGACAAGCTCGATGACATAAGCGAGGAAGTAGGAGAAAGTGACGACGTTATTGAAAACCTTGGTGATACGCTTGACAAAATAACTGAAAATATTGATGACGGTATTATTGATGTTTCTAGAGAGTTAGTAGATGAAACTAAAGACCTCATAGAAGATGATATAATTGATGATTCCAAAGAAGACTTAATGGATGATATATTAAACGATGATGCTATGACAGATACAGAAAACGAATTAACAGACACAGTTTCGGATATCATTGATGATGCAGGAGACAATATAATTGATTCTGCCGACGATAAATTCGAAAATCTATTAGATTCTGTTGAAGATTTAACAGATATTGATTCAGGAAACGAAATAGCGGACGCAGTTTCGGATGTTGTAGATGATACAGATGATAATGTTATTGATTCTGCCGACGATATAGTCGAAAATCAAATCGATTTTGTCGATGATATTATGGACTCAATTAATGATGCAAAAGACAATATAGTTGATTCTACGGACGATATTGTCGAAAACGCAATTGATAGAGTAGAAGATATTACAGATAATACTGAAGAAATTGGAGATACCGTAAATGATTCTATAGACAATATAGTTGATTCTACGGCCGATATTGTCGAAAACGCAATTGATAGAGTAGAAGATATCAAAGATAATACTGAAGATATTGTAGATACATTAAATGATGCTACAGACAATATAATTGATTCCACGGAAGACATAAGTGAGAACGCAATCGATAGATTAGACGATCTAACTGACAATATTGATGATGTTGTAGACACATTAGATAATAGAAACGACCATATAGTTGATACTACTGACGATATCATGGATAATGCAATTGATAAAGTGGAAGATATAATAGATAATACGGCTGACATTATAGACACAGCAAACGATAAAACTGAAGGAATAGTAGAGGATGTTTTGGACTCTACAAGCGACATAATTGATAACTCGGTAGAAAGTATAAAAGATTTAGCTGAAGACGTCGTTGATAACACATTAGATACAACAAACGATATTGCTAATATTCCTATGGACATTGCAAATTCAGTCGATGATGTTATTGAAAACATTGGCGGGGATAAGTTAGATGATCTCACTAATATTGCTGAGGCCCCTATTGAAATGGGAAATGAAGCAATAGAAAATGTTGCGGATATAGTAAGCGAGTTACCTGTTGAAATTTCAAATGACATTGTTGAAAATGCTGTAGATGCAACGAATGCAATTATTGAAGCGCCTATTGAATCTGGAAGTGAAATTGTCGGAAATGCTGCAGACTCAATAGATAGTATTGTCGAGGCTCCCGTTGAAATTGCCAATGATGTTGTCGAAAACTTAGCAGATTCAGTCAATAACATTGTCGACGCTCCAGTCGAGGTCGTTAATGACGTTGTTGAACATTCAGCCGATACGGTTAGTAATATTGTCGAGGCTCCCGTTGAAACTGCCAATGATGTGGTCGAAAACTTAGCAGATTCAGTCAATAACATTGTCGATGCTCCAGTCGAGATCGCTAATGACGTTGTTGCACATTCAGCCGATGCGGTTAGTAATATTGTCGACGCTCCAGTTGAAATGGCCAGCCAAGTTGTTGAAAATTCAGTTGATACGGTCAGTAATATTGTTGACGGTCCAATTGAAGTAGCCAACCAAGTGGTCGAAAATTCAGCAGATTCGTTAAGTGATATTGTCCATGCTCCAGTTGAAATGGCAAATCAAGTAGTCGAAAATTCAGTCGATGCAGTCAGTAATATTGTCGACGCTCCTGTTGATACGGCCATTGAAGCAGTTGATGATACTGTGAGTAACATTGTAGACGCCCCATTTGAGGCAGTATCTGACGCGATGGACGGCATAGCAAGTCCCGAATGATACTAAATTGTCTGAAATCCTATTCTTACAAACTAAATTTGTTTAGCAACGAGAGTGATTTTTGGTTTCTCTGCATTTTTAAATAGCCTTTGTAAGCATGAAAGGAGATGATAAAATATTCAACTTAGAAACTCTGAAATGTCATACTTCAAATTCAAGGCTCTTCTGTTGAACTTAATTATCATATTTGCGTGTTCACATATCTTTATGTTATTGTTTCGGAATTATTTAATATTCCCAAGAATGTTTATTTATAAGTAAATGTATATTTTTATCTGCCGACAGTTTGTTATTTATACGGAAGCTCTAAAGTCAGGTGAGCAAGTGTTGCATACTCTTTTTTTATATGATGTTTAGTTTGATTTAACCTTATCTCGACTTTTGTCCTAATGTCACGAACTCGAATGCCATTTACTTGGAAGAATATTCCATATAACATAGTTACGATCAGCAATTATCAAATGAAATTCGTTCACGTATCAGTCATGTCAAAAACTCGTGCAAATTCGAAGTCGTCGATAAATACCATCAAATAAAAAAAACAAACAACAAAACAAAACAAACTTGAATCATGGAAAAACAATTAAACAACAATTATCATGATAAAAATGGTCATATCTTCCGTTCATAAACAAATATGTTGGAGATCTAAACAAAGAGATCTGGTATGAAATCCATTACTTGTTTATTGAGAAACAAAACAACTCTTAACATCGTTGCACAGCAACGAACATTGTATTTTTTCCAAATATATCACTCATCTGATTGGTCAATTCAAGACACTGATAGATAGCTGCTTATGCCATAGATGAACATTGTTAAACCAAGATGAAAAGTAGCACTAAAGATTTCTTTCTTTTTATTGTACTATCTACCTTAATTACCATTGGAGTATTTGGAAATATCATATCTATATATGTTTGGACACGCGGGAAAAGATGTGCAAAATCAAAATTCGGTGCGTTTTTTGTGGTTTTATCTATATTAGATACTTTATTACTAACAGTGTTTGGAGTTCAGTTAGTTCTTATTTTGTCTCCACTGCAGTATAAATTCCAGTCAAAATACACCATTCCTTGTAAAGTGTTTAGTTTTGGATTCCAGTTACTAGCACAAGTGTCTATGTGGCTAATAGTTTGTTTAACTATTACAAGAACTGTATTCATTTACAAACCATGGCTTCAAATTGACAGACGCAAGATTTATATCTTGGCTGTTTCTTTACTTACGGTCTTCACTGGCATAGATATGCCGCATTTGTTATATGACAAAGTTGAACACGACAAATTGTTTAACAATACAAATCACCGCGGGTACATACCATTTGATGACGACGTTCAGCTTTCTCGTAATGGATCATTAATGACGCAAGGCAAGTGCAAAATGTCTTCATCAGGTATCAATGCGTTAACATACAACGTAATTGTCGGGGCTGGAATTTTCGTGGTCGTTCCGTTTATCGTAAATTTCACTTGCAACTGTCTCATGATACTGCAGCTTTTCAGACGAATGGTCAATGCACAAGTTTTGGGAAAGTCTCTGGCTTCACGAGCATACCGAGATGTCCGTATGTTTACCAAACGTGTAATTGTAATCAGTGTTACTCACTGCGCCTTAACAATACCTCAGGTGGCATTTGATATACATATGCAGACTATGGATCATGGTGGTGACAGCGATTTGAATTATATAAACCACGCTTTGTGGCATAGAATTGTGACATTTTTATTTTACGTGAACAGCTTTCTGAATCTTATACTATATTACACGACAGGGTCAGATTTCAAACTGGATGTGAAGGATTTGCTAAGACCATTCATTCGAGGTGTTTAATAGTCGACGATCTTTTGGCGTTAGGGCTAAATAGCTCATTGAGACGTATCTCAAATGAGCAATATCAATAAATATTATACATAAATACTAACATGAAATCGTATTGATTTTAAAAAGAATTACGCATTTTGTTTTAATGTCGGTGGTTGTATTTGAAATGCTATTTGTCCACTCTGTGAATGCCGATAGATCAGAACTGTTATATAGGGTAACTTGAATGTATAATCATAACAAAATAAAAGATAAACGGTCAAAGGATATATTTGTATATGAGAGCAGTTACTGTATTAAACGCACATTATGCTTTAAAGTGAATAACTTTGTTCTTCTGTTGAAAAAGCAAATATGGAGTTATAACTTTAAAAAATGGTTTTAAAGCATGTTAGATGCTTATTTCTTGAAGAAAGTAACACTGGAACTTAAAACTTTTCTGAAAATAGAAGCAAAATGTAAACAAAATAGTACTTTGATTTATATATAAAGTTCTAAATCACTATAATTGTATTAATTGCCAGAAAACAACAGAAGCAAATGATGGTCAAGGTAATTGGCCAATGAGATTCTTTTCGCATACTATAACAGGCCACCAAAAATAAATAAATTTTGAGATATAAGAATTAAACCATTTCTGGGGCATATTTGGTTTTTAACAGCTGTAATTAGGTTATGCCAGGCAATTTAAGCAATTGCACCATCCTTCATATTTATCATATTATGAGCTTCGATGATCTTTGTTAATAATATAGCTTACTTGAAAGCACAATTAGTAAGTAATCACTACATGCGAACGATGAGAAGGAAATTAAGATGATTTTAGAAAAGAAAATATGTTTGAATGAAATGTTTCAGTGTTAAATTAGGGCCCTCTATATTATTGCCAATAAACGTTATTGTGATAGTCAACAACAAACAATTTAGTCCACATAACTTATATGCTTCTATTTAGTTAAAATCTTGACAAAATATATTTATGTAAAAACATGTTCATTTACGTTGTTTATACATGGTTACATGTAGTAACAAATGATAAGAGAATACCTTGCCGATTACCAATGATCATTTCGGAAACAATAAATATTGAAAGTAGTTCTGCACGGGGCTCTTGATGGAAACACTTTGATTATGATTTTGGGACTGGTCCGAAAACCCAGATGTAATGTACTTTTGTTAACTTACATTTTGTTAACACATGTCTTTTTTGATTTTGCAAATGTTGTCATCTTATCAAATAGAGTCTGCAATATTTGTAATTTTGCATTTTTGCAACTCTTTGTTCTTTCCATTTTTTAATCGAGCGACCCTTCATGGCGTTTGGAGAGAAATTCCATGATTTTTAAAACGAATTTTCATTGATTAGTAATTACTTTGCAGTTTCTTTATAGGAAAGTGAATGCAATGTACTCCTTTGAAATGATACCAGAAAGTGAGTTTTTGTACACGTTTAGTCATAAGCCTTTAATATAGTCTCTTCATGTTTCCCGTACTTCGATATGGAAATGCGGCGGCGACCCTTTACGCGTATGACGTATGGTGTCACGCTATACCAAAGAAATCAACAAAAATATTGTTTTGCAATAGCTTATCATGTTAGGAGAAAAGATTTATAAATTTTACAAGGCTATGAGCATGGGGATGTCATTATTCCGCACAACAGCTGGGTAATGCTGAGGTATTTCCAGATAACTTTTTGAAATACACTGATTTTTGCAAGGTTATTCGTTTGTAGCAATATCTTTGGCCAATATGTTTTGTATATTAAGAAATTCACTTACCATACATACGTAAAGTGACTTCATAAAGACTCTAGAAAGGGTGGTTTCCAACAACAAAATATTCAAAATCAGTTTTATTTAAAGGGAAAGACAAGGTTAGAATAAAAACTTGATTTCAGAAAAAGAACACTATAAATAATAAATCTGCAAATTTTCTGCCGCCAAATAATAATATTAAACGAATGATAACAAAATATAAGCAACTCTTTTGAAAAGTAAATTGTTAACATGTCTGTAAACGTATGATGCTGCGCATCGTAATCGTAGCCTAATATGAACTGCAGGCAAAACATTTTTATTGGCTGCTCAAAAATCTAATTTGCATAATTTATTCACACAATTGCTGGTTCTAATACTGTGCATTGTCCATTTTAATTGTTCCTAATTTGCACCAAATGTTCCTCTCACACTGTGTACTGACGATTTTTATTGCTCCTTGTAGGCCTCTGTGCCGACAGACCTTTTGATCATGCACAATGTTGCCCTGATTGGTTAATCACCCTTGTCAAATATTCTAATGACGAAATAGACATCTATTTTTTTTACGCTTCATCGGTGAACTGAATGACCTTAGGGGAAATTAAGTTCCACACCTGTCGAATTATACTGTAAATGACAGTCATAAAATAGCAACACATTTTTTTCAGTTACCAATAATCATTTTAAATATTAAGTAGATTTATGATTTTTTGTTTTATTGGATTAAATTTACGGTACAAGAAATGCGTATCTGTGTGGGAAAGGAATTGGGTAAGTAGATAACGTGGAAAAAAGCTATAGGGAACTGGATAAACCCGAGAATATGCGTAATTACAGGGGAATCTGTTGGTACCAGTTTTGACTGGGTGCATAAATAACCTAACGGGCAGTTTTGTTTTCATACGATATTAGTCTGGCTGCCGATTTTCCTGCGCCATTCTCATTTTTAGCGTCAATGGCGGAAAATCGCGTCCTCAGCAGATCTCTGCATATTGGATTTAGTTGATATTTTACGCTGAAAAAAAGATACATGACCGGCGATGTACCCTATTCGGACAGCTTGTCTAGCGAAAATTAAGTACAAAAAAAGGATATATCGTCAATTTGAAGAAGTTTCTCATAGTACCCAAATTAAATTAATGGTTTATCTTTGAAAATTAAGCAGTCATTGCTTAAATCATGTGGTGGGATCATCATCAAGCTTGAAAATCGGACAAATGATAATTAATGTCGCGGCGTCTTCAATTAATTAATTAAAGCAATTCAGTTCCATATGATGTTTTCATAAATAATATATAATGTACGCAATAAGATTAATAAGTTCTTCATCAAGATATATTTCAGTTGTACCAGCGTGTACACCTATACCGGAAGTGGGTGTAACACGTCACAATCTCGGTCTCGTCTGTCTCGCGAGAATGACAGAACGCCAAAATGGCGGCGCCCATGAACTTATTTCTCAAGTAAAAAATAGTGTCTTAAAACACGAATTTCTCACTTATAGGGTTGATGTCAACAGAAAAACTGTCATGGTACCTCTTTTTAAATGATGAATATTTATATTAGACAGACATCAATCCATCCATTCCTATTCCTTTAAATTATTTTGCATTTGATTTTTAAAATACGCGAATTCAGAATAGTATTTTTACCTGTTGTTCTTTTTCTTTCTGGCCA